TTGTTTGTTATTTTACTAAGGACTGATTTTTCAATCATCAGTTAATACTGTAGAATAAAATTGACAGTGGACAGCTTTTAGTATGGAAGGATTGTCAAACATTGAAAGTTATTCCTCAGTTAAAATTTACATAAGCATTGAAAAATTGGCTCTAAATATTTAAAATCATTTCGTTTTTTGTGTTGCATTGTGACAGGTAGGAATTTTCGGCAATTACTTTTATTTTTCAACCATTACTCACAGACCCAATGCTGACATTTTTCACAATGCCAAAACAAGAACAAAACAAGTCCCCATTAAACCCAAAACTTTGCTACTAAACTTCCAAAATCTCCAAAATAACAATTTCTATGAATATGCATGAACACCACAAGTCGAAACATATTGAGGAACAACGCCAAAGTAATATAATATTCAAGAAAACGACACTCGTAAAAGGCAAGCCTCCTCACAAGGGAAATACGGGCAAGTGACGAAGCTACTAAAACAAGACATATGACACAAAATTTCGAACATCCAAAGACCAGGAATCGTTCCGAAACTCCCGATGAACAGGTAAGCAGTTTATTTCAGTACCGAACTCGGAAACTGCGTAAGCAAATACTTTCGTACGAAACTTTGGCTACTAACAATATTCAATACCACATGCGACATTTTCAGTTTATTTTTTGCTTGACTTTCATTTTACGCCATATTGTGTACTTAAGTTTTAAACCGACCAAGTATAGCGTCTCGTTTCACACACGACTCATCCTATTCTTCTAATTTTCCGGTATAATAACTTGAAATTATTCCAGTGGTTGCTCTTAAAGGAAATAGGGAAATATTATAGCCATATTAGGTCGCCTATTTATTTTTGAACGATTTTTTACGAGCAAATCGAAATGAGTTTTAAACAAAATAGGTACCTAAGCGGTGGTATGAATATAGAAGTACACATTAGGTTAAATACATGCTAAACGTCTATTTTTCGCAAATATTTCTAAGGTGTATTATGTTCGTTAAAGATCCTAGTCTCAATTATGTTTATCAGCTCACTCACTGTTTGACTAGTTAATGTCATATGACACTTAGACGGCACCGCTACAATCCAGTTCCAACTCGGCAATTAACTTGTGAACACTAAATCCTATGTGCATGTGACATATTTCATAACGTCAATAAAAAAAGCTAAAATTCCGCTTTTGTGTTTCCGAAACAAAAAACGTTGTGCTGTATCAGTGTCATTACTGTTTGCGATGTCTCTTAACTCGTTTAGTTTCAAGCCACGCCAGGGGTTCATATTGTCGCGGAGAACCTAACGGGTTACCGAGGCCTCGGCTCGAAGTGCAGGAGTAGGAACGGGGCGGTTTTTAGTCAGTAAGAGTCTGACACTCCCTCCCGCCTCACCCAGGCGAAAGCAGTCATAAGATGATTTTCCCTTCTTAACTCGTCGAGTACCGGTTTTATAGACACAATTAAAGGACAATAGGTCGCGGTCACCGGTGACCGCTTGGTGTTTGACAGTTTAAAAATGTCTCGATAAACAACTCTTAATTGTGGGTAACTATGCGCAACGAGAATAATAAGACAAAGATACTATTCTTATGTCGGAATACTCAAACGCTACTTAATTAAGTCGCGCTTAAGTATAGTTCTGTCTCCACAAATTCTTTGTAAAATGACAGAGATGGCACGATATTTAAGCGTGACTTAAAATTGAATAATGTTTCAGTATTCCGGCATTAAGTAATAAGATTGACATACTTTCTTAAACAATTGCATAAACGTATCAACAGCAATATTCAGATACGATTTAAAATAGGCCACTAATTGATCAGCAACGTTTCCAACAAGCAAAATGATCAAATAACGTAGTAATTAGACGTTTGATAGAAAACAGCTAGATGAATAACATAGCACACTGGTGAAATTGCAACTGCTGAACTAACCAGCTTTCTAGCACAAATGTAGGGTTTGTAATAGAGTTTAGACAGATGTAACTTGTGTTGGTATCCGTACTCCACATAGATAGGTTATACAAATACTGTTGCGTTTTGAAGATAATAAAAATAATATACAGTAAGACTAGTCCGCGAAGAATGTTTTAGGGATTATTTTTTTTTATATTCTTTTTGAAGATTGGTTTACTGTGCACTAGGTTGCTTTTCTTGCAATAACATTTGCGTTAAACGATGTAATTTTGCTTTCATCTGTAAAATTGTGGAAAAATGGGGAATAATAAAATTACATGTTTACTTTTACTTGATCATCGTTGATTAAGAGAATTAATCACTACGCTTGCTTAATGCTGGTTGGCGATTTCAAACTTATTATTGGAAATTATAAGCCCAGGTTTGCTCACGATGTTTTTCTTTTCACCGTTTGTTCGGATTCTCATGCATGAGAAGCAGGCGTTTTAAACCTTTTACTTTGTATGTGTGGTTAATTACACTAAATAGAATACATTTTTTGAGACGTCGAAATAAATCTCCCAACTAAATGTCCAATATCCAGAATCTCAAACGTGGCGTACACTGTATATTTATGAACCTTCTGCTTCTGTAGATTACATTCAAGCTCTGCCCGACTTAGATATTGGTCAGAGCTCTGGACTGCACACTATGTTTTGTAGCTTAGTTGAAGGACCGATCTTTGTATTGCAGTTTGCTTAAACACGGACCGAGTTTGTGTAAAGTCAGATGAGTTTCGACGACTACTGTGTGTTTAGACTATTTAGATAGAACACAGATTGTGCTCTTTAGTTGCTTCGAAGTTTTGTTCTGTTAATATGTTTGTTTTTAATTAGAATATGAAATTGTTGACTCGAAATATTTGAGCATCTTGCAAAAAATAACCTAAATTTGAAGTGGTAATGTAACCATAAAAACTCTGAGAACAGATTAACAAAGATTTAAATTAACATAACATAACATCACGGCTTTTTATCCCCGAAGGGGTAGGCAGAGGTGCACATTGCGGCACTTAATGCCACTGTACAATGTAACACCTACTTTTCACTATTTATGTTATAAGTCCCATGTATTAGGGGTGGGTTTAGTGCCATATACCGGGCACATTTCCAGACTCTGTGCTACTACTGAGACTTTTAAAACCCAGTAATACCATAACCTTAGCCCGACCCGGGAATCGAACCCGAGACCCCTTGCCAGGCAGTCGCACTTGCGATCACTCGGCCAACGAGGCAGTCAAAATTAACTAAAATTATCTAAACGTTTAATAATTAATTTGGACATTTCATTAAATCAACCGCCATTGTTCGTGTATGTTAGAAACTTTTACGCCATTTAACGTCATATTACGCCACGTTGGAGATGCACCAATGCAAGGCTAGCGTTGAATATTCACTCGCTATCAGGGCAAACGAAGTTAAACCAATTCCTGCTTAATATGCCATGTGAGAGGCCAGCGGGGACCAAATATTACAAACCTAGATGTTTGAAATAAAATGGACACGATTTTACTATAGAAAAGAGGTGGAATGCACTTTATTATAAACTAGCGACCCGCCCCGGCTTTGCACGGGTGCAATATGTATATACATACAAACCTTCCTTAAGAATCACTCTATCTATTAAAAAAACCGCATCAAAATCCGTTGCGTAGTTTTAAAGATCTAAGCATACATACGGACATACAGCGAAAGCGACTTTGTTTTATACTATGTATTGATTGATCTATAATAAAATCGTAGGAAAGTGAAAACTGTACATCGAATATTTTTTTAAAAAATGCTTTGGGCGTGATCTACAATCGATACCGACCGATAGGTACCAAAAATGTGGTTTTTAGAATTTTTGTCTGTTCGTTTGTATGTATGTATGACCGGGATGAACTCAAAAAGTGCTGCAGGGATATATTTAAAATTTTGCATGAATATTACTAACAGGTCAGGTCATATTATCATGCTATCAACTACGGGGGAGAAGCTATGAATCTATTAGGGCCATATAGATAAAATATATATATTTAATTCAAATGGAATTTTATAAAGTTCGTTTACCTAGTCTATTCTAAAACTTGTGACACAAATTAAATGAAATAACGAGCTAACACTGCGTGCAACATTTATTACCTACAATATTTGAAATAGAATTACTTACTTTATTCGGTATGAAAATTCTAAATTTAAATTATTGTACGTACAGTATCTATTATTTCAATTCGCTTCCAAATTTGAACATTTGTTAAAATATTTTGTAACATAGTTAATGTTACGAGTGGGTGGCAAATTAGAAGTATTGTTCATGTTCGTGACTACAATAATAATGAAATTGTAACATGATTTAAAATTAGAATCGGACATTCGTGGAATAGTCACATGAAATTATGAATAGGTATATTTAGTTGTGTACCTAATAATATAACTATACTAGCTATTTCCCGCGACTTCGTCCGCGTAGAATATGAACTTTAGAACTATACACGGAAGCGCCGCGACTCGAGCGCACTCAGGACACGGTATTTAAGCTGAACTTTGGCCTTTTGCGCCGTCTTGACTGTTTAATTTTTTTTGTGTGTTATTGTACTTTGTAACGGTGTACAAATAAACCATTTTCTTTCTTTCTTTCTACATAACCTCACAAAAACATAGGAATAAATAAATGAAATAACAACTTTTAATAGAAGTTTTTTTTTTCATACAAAAACATATATTTATTAAAAAAAAGAAAATAAATTAGGTTTTAACTATCGACCTACAATTATGAGGAACAAATAGCGAGTTTCAATTTAATATTAAAATTTAAATTACCTACATATATAACTAAGTATTTAACTACATATGGTATAGTATTTCACACACACACAGACACACACACACACACACACACACACACGCACACACACACTCACTCATTAACAGACCGTAAAACCTATATAATATTTCACAGTATGTGTGTGTGCGTGTGTATGTGAGAGAGAGAGAGAGAGAGAGAGAGAGAGTGTGTGTGTCTGTCTGTGTGTGTGTGTTTGTGTGTGTGGGTGTGTATGTGGGTGTGTGTTTATATAGCATTTTACACTGTTTTATCCATCTCCTTTGTTGGTTCTTCATCGAATTCTTTTTTGGTGGGTTTCTTTGGACCTGAGAAAAATAAATGATGTTTTATTTTTGGCTTTATGAGTCGAAGTCAACTTATAACAGTTTCGAAACTTCTATTGACTTTTTCGAATTCATAACCATCAAGTATTTTGGTATCTTCTAGAATCATCGTGATCATTGTATCAGTCACGACGTCTACCATTTATAGGGCTCACCAACTGTAAGTTCCAAATCAGCCGGTTGGAACTTGGAAGCAACCTGACTGCAGTGGTTCCTTATGCTACATTAATTAAGCATCTGGGACCCAATTACGGGTCAGAAGAGGAGGCTCCTCAATCTTCCCAATTCCTGAATCCCCAACAATTCTTAAATTCCTAATCCCCAAAAGGCCGGTAACGCACTTGTAACGCCTCTGGTGTTTCAGGTGTTCATGGGCGGCACCCATTACTTACCATCAGGCGATCCGTGTGCTCATTTACCAGCTATCCCATAATAAATATCTTATAATTATAATGCATAACATGACATAACATAACATCACGGCTTTTTATTCCCGAAGGTATAGAGAAAGGGGTGTAAATTATGGCACTTAACGCCACTGTACAATGTAACACCAACTTGTTACTATTTATGTTATGAGTCCCATGTAATAGGAGGTGAGCCTATTGCCATATACCGGGCATAGTTCCAATCTCTTAAATAGAATACCTATCGCTCAAATATTATTCGACTCATAATATGTATACTTACTGGTAAATATGAGTTTGATTAATGTAGAGAAGGGTGCGTCGATGACCAGCACCATGAGGAATGTGACGGCGAAGGACAACGCATAGTGAGCGAGGAACTTGAACAACTGGGAAATAAATCAAATGGTGGTGCTTTAATTACAATTGGGATGATGACAGGGTAAGAAAATTAAAAATATAATAATATGTAATAAAAAAATGAAAATTAAAAGTCCGTAAGTTAGGTAATGAAAAAATATTAGACACGTATTTTTTATTATGTCGTATAATAAAACGATACTTAGATAAAATGAATCAAAGTTTAGGAGTGGGGGTAAAGCGTCATTTCTACGTATAAAATGTACATAGAAGTGATGTTACGCTACATTTCAAATTAATATATCGTCGAAATTATTCGTTTCTGTAAGAAAATAAAAAATACGTGTCTAATGATTTAAAATAATCTACCAGACGGATATTTAAATAAAAATTACGCATCTATGCAGCACTTTTTTAGTTTAGCCCTGACATACAGACAAACAAACAAAAATTCTATTACATTTTTAGCTTTGATAACGATTAAAGAACACGTCACAAGAACTCTATTAAAAAAATATTCAATGTACGTACAGTTTTGACTTTCCTACGATTTTATTATATGTATAGATAGATGTTTATGCCTCTAAAATCTTGATTAGGTTATAATAGATACGTACCACAGATTCCACAGAGAAATACATCGGTGATACCGCAGTATAGTTGACAGCAACCATCAAACCATAGTGGAACAAATACATTCCATACGACAATCGAGATTGTAGCTTCCACACACTAAGTGATAAAAACCAATTTATTGGACCTGAAACAGAAATATTTTAGCACCATTATTCATATAATCAGATCACACTACGGACTGACGTATGACGTAGTTACTGGACTATGCGATAAAATATCTGCCAATGTTTAAAAGTAGACCTTATTGCTTTAGGCTTTAAGTTTATTTTGAGTTTCAAATAGAGCAATTAGAAACGTTATTCACACGACCTAATCAATCAACTGTGTCCACGTTATCACTCTGTCCACATAATCCTTTTAAAGTATTAACACAGGACATTTTATTCGAAACAAACTTAACTATATTTATTTTCCAAAAATATTCTATATCATTTTCAGTTTTAGTACGAAACATTCCACTTGAATAATAATTTCCAAACGCAAATCTTTAATATCTTCCATTTTTTATTGTTTGTATGTGTATTACTCTTACACGCAAAAACTACTGAAAGGATATGAATGCAATTTGGCATAGTGATATTTTTTTTAATGTGGCCCCACAATACGATTTTCTCCTGTGTCGTGGGTGCGTTAACAAACATACAATTTCACATACATGACACCAGACCCGGAACAACAATATATGGATCAAACACAGAGTTGGTCCGTACGGGAATCAAACCCGCTACCCGTTGCGCGGCAGCCAGTTGCCCATCCACCGCACCAACCGTGCAGTCGAAAGTCAGATTAGTCTTGACTTCATCATCAACAGCTTATAAATGACCACTGCTGAGCAAAGCATCTTCTCAAACGGAGAAGGTTTGAGCATTAATCACCACGCTTGCTCAATGCGGGTTGGCGATTTTAAACTTATAATTAGAAATTATTTTACAGGTTTCCTCACGATGTTTTCCTTCACCGTTGGTCAATGGTGTCTAAATAATCTTAGAAAGTACATATAACTCGGAAAAAGTCACATTGGTACTTGCCGTTGGTAGGTTTCGAACCTGCACCCTTGTGCATGAAAAGCAGGCGTCTTTAACCTCTGGGCCACCATAGTCTTGACTTATACCTAGGTTACTTCTTATTGATAATCCGGGCGAAGCCGCTGATGGAAGCTAATAACTCATATATAATATCATAGTCACAAATCAAATATTTGTTAAATATACCAAACGAAGTGATCCGACAGAGAACCAAAGTTATCGACATAGCCCAAAGGATCAGTAAGCTGAAGTGGCAGAGGGCCGGTCACATTTGTCGAAGAACCGATAACCGTTGGGGTAAACGTGTTCTAGAGTGGAGACTGCGTCTAGGCAAACACAGTGTAGGGCGCCCTCCAGCTAGGTGGAGTGACGATATCTGCAAGGTGGCTGGCAGTGGTTGGATGAGAAGAGCTGAAGACCGAGCTCAGTGGCGTGCCTTAGGAGAGGCCTATGTTCAGCAGTAAACGAATACAGGCTGATGATGATGATACCAAATGGTTAAATGTTTGTTGTTTTTAGCTTACCTCCGTAACCATTGACACAAGCGTATATCAAACAGCCAAGGTATAAAGCCCATAGAGGTCTGACGAAAGAGTTGTACAGACTATCCCCTAGTTGATTGTCCCAATCCGGCTGTGCTATAGGATAGTTTGTGTACATCAACAAGGTTGACAAACTAAACGCTGCTATCCAGTAAAATGCTGTGGTGATCTGTGAAAAAGAATAAATAAGTAAAGCTATAAATAACTATTATTATCTCTACGATTTTTATAAATTGGCAATAATTGGTACGTGAAAAAAAATTATACAAATTATGTCTTAAATGACAAGTTTTTTTGCTGAGTTGAAGCTATGACGGAGCCGTACCTACCTTAATTTCGTAATGCTAAATATTCTATTAACAACTAAAGTCCTAGTAAACAAAATAAACCACATAAAGTATGAAACTACTAAACCCTTACCTTGGACATGACAAGTTTTTCAGTTCTCACTAAATACCCGAAGATCATGCCAACTAAAAACGGAGAGCCTCGAGTCAATGTGTTCATGTAATAATTGACTGAGTAATCCATCGTTCGCTCTGGGCGACTGCAAATATTGAATACGGTTAAAATACATGAAGTATCGCTTACCTACACTTCTTGACGCTTGAGATTGAAAAATATGGACGTAATTTCAATTAAAAATATTGAAGCACCAAAATATCACGGTATATAGATACACCACTGATATTTTATTTTTATTTTTATGGTTTACTTGCAACACCGTAAAATACCATATATATTAAGTGTAATGACGTGCCATATCACGGTCATGTGACAAACGTCCTTTGTTTCAATATGTACGCCCTTTTTAACGTCCTCGTTGAAGAACTAAAGATAGACCTCCACTTGTAAAAATGTAAGGAAAAATATTTTAATTTCACTTAGAAGTACTTATAATAATTAAAATGACAATAAAGTCAAATATAAATTAAATATTACCCCATCATTGTAGAGGGAAACTCTCTGATAAAATTATAAGTAGTAGCCGCTGTTAAAATAGCTACAAGCCCCGCTAACAAAGCGGCCCAGGCTATCTTCTTCCTTCCCATTAGGACCCAGTATAGAAGAATTGGAGATAAGATGTGAAGCTGGACGTCTATCGCTAAATACCATGTCTGACCGACGCACTGAAATCAACAGATATACCTATTATCATTTGCTTTGCATTAAAACATGCTTTTTTTACTCGAAGTCTTAATGGCAAATGACAAAGGGGGCTGTTACATTGTTATGCACCAAATCGGCCTGGTGGCGTGGTGTGCTCTTGTAGCGTGGAAAATATGCTGGCTAAAATAGGAACGCTTGCAGCTACGCCGTAGGCACCATACGTGCTACGCCGTAGCACAGGTGAACGTTCTTCACTAAATTGACGAATCATATTTTTGAATAGATTTTAGTACTAAGCTTATCATAGTTCACTAAAATTTAATCTTTACAACTTTATTCCACAATCAACAAGAGCTATTTTACTTCAGCCAAATATTGAACATTTCGCTTACTGTATTAGTAGGGTTCATATAATTCTGCACATGTAACAAGGTAGACCACCAGGATGTCCTACATCTGTGGACATGGCCTTCCACTACACCCCATATTGGTCCGTCTGTCCATCGGTTTAGATATGTTGCTTCTAAGAGTGCAATAGCAGCCAATAAAGGAAACATGCGCAAGAGTCGATTAAGCCAAAACAGGTGAATGTTTTTTATTAACTGATCTGAAATAAAAAAATAATAATGTAAGTATTGACTTATTTGAGTAAAACCCTTTGAGTACCGTCATTATAGACACAATTAAAGAACAATAGGTGTGCGGACACCGGTGACCTCGCGGTGTTTGACAGTTTAATTATATAATTATTTAATATATTTCATAAATATTGAAACTTAGAAGTCAATAACTAAAATCGCTAATTAATATCGCCAAGTAATTTATTTTTATTATATAAATTAACGAAGTAATTATTATGCCACACATTGATTTAAATATTATTATTAAAGTAAATATGATATTAATAAAATCAGATAGTAAATAATGATTGACGATGATCTGATAAAGAAAAGTCGTTCGATTAAGAAATTTATATTATTCTACGTAAGCAAAGGAAAGGATATTGCTCAAACAACACTACTGTTAGATAAGATAATAATAATATAAAGATTCATACCTAGTTAATAGAAATACATATCTTTTTATCAGAAATTGTGCAATAAGGAATAACCTTAGCAATTTGGCAATCAATATTTTTATTCTATTGATTCATCAATTTAATTTTAAGTCGACCAAGTCATTATTATGACAAAACATCAGTCTACAGACACATTGTAATATAAGACTGCCTTATTGACCGAGTGGTCAAAGGACCGACTGCCGGACAAGGGGTCTCGGTTTCGATTCCTGGGTCGGGCAGATTATTCTTGGGTTTTAAAAAATTCTGCCTGGAGTCTGGAATTGTGCCCGGTATATGGCAATAGGCTCACCCCCTATTACATGGGACTCATAATATAAATAGTGAAAAGTGGGTGTTACTTCTATGTGCACCTCTGCCTACCCCTTCGGGGATAAAAGGCGTGATGTTATGTTATGTTATGAAATGTAGAAGTCAATAACTAAAATCGCTAATTAATATCGTCAAGTAATTTATTTTTATTATATAAATTAACCAAGTAATTATTATGCCACACATTGATTTAAATACTATTTATTAAAGTAAATATGATATTAATAAAATCAGATAGTAAATAATGATTGACGATGATCTGATAAAGAAAAGTGGTTCGATTAAGAAATTTATATTATTCTACGTAAGGCTCCGGCTCGACGTGCAGGAGAAGGAACGGGGTGGTTTTTAGTCAGTAAGAGTCTGACACTCCCTTCCGCCTCACCCAGGCGGGAGCAGTCATTCGATGATTTTCCCCATTAAAAAAAACTTATAATGTACATATTATAAATATATAGATAATACGCATATTTAATTTTATGTTACTAGGACGATTCCAAGTAGGTATGTGTGCCACTAAGTGAGACCTGTCCGGTATAATTCGCATAATGACATTCTTATCACGAGATAATGTATCATAATTAACGGAAATCACCTATTAATTAATCTTATAGCAACTTGATAAGTTTTGATGTAATAACAATAACTAGTTGTTTTTTAAAAGTAATCTGTTTAATCCAGGAGATATTATTTGGCTAGACTTTTGATTAATGTTGATATAAAAAATACTGTTATTTCCGCTGTTGACCATTAGAAAGCTACCAATATAACAAAATATAAGACGTGTGTTTTTGCAAAGTTCTTTTCTCATAACACCACGCCTTTTATCCGCGAAGGCATAGACAGAGGTGCACATTAGGCCACTGAACAATGTAACACCCACTTTTCACTATTTATGTTATGAATCCCATGTAATAGGGGGTGAGCCTATTGCCGTATACCGGGCACAATTTCAGACTCCGTGCAACTACTGAGATTTTTTTTTAATCCAGGAATACGTTGCCCTACCTGGGAATCGAGAACCCTTGCCTGACAGACGCACTTGCGACCACTCAGTCAACGAGGCAGTCCTTATTTTAGGCAGGTTATTTTCACCCTAATTGAAATAAATGATGACTTTGACTTTGTGTTGAGCGGAATAATATATTTGTTAAGACCCCTCTTCTGATAAATGCAGTAAAAACTATATAAGGGTAGTCAAAAGTCCACCATAAGTGGGGCCCAGTAGGGCTGATGGCCGATACGGAGCCGCGGAAGGAGTAGGAACGGGGTGGTTTTAGTCAGTAAGAGTCTGATACTCCCTCTCGCTAACCCAAGGCGGGCTTGGGTTGGCGAGAGGGAGAGGAAGTCATTGGATAATTGTCGCCCTTCAAAAAAAAAGGGTAGTCAAATGTGTAGTCATATTTGATGTTCAAGTCATATTTGATTATGGTATTATTGTTTACGCTGTGGAAATTATAGACAATATGGCCAAGGGATGTACTAGACCTAGAGAGGAAATTAAGCGTAGAGTTTATCGCTAGCCTTCTAATGCCTAATGTAGAGGATGATCATAGTGTAGCAGTAGACTGTCTTAAATTGTATAGGAGAGTAAGATTTTACTTACTAGAATTTATTTTTCCAACTGTAGTATAAACAACGAGAAAGCCACTTAACATAAAAAATGTGTCCACTGTCAATGTAGCTGATACCACCCATAAAGCTTGCCATGATGTCGCCCACTAAAAACAAAGAAAATATGATTAAGACAGTAGGCTGCGCGACACGCCGCGACCGTGGACGCTGTTCATGAGATAGAACCCCTCTGTGGTTCGAAACTAGTAGAGCTTTTCTCAGTATATTCACGTTTATTCACCCGCGATTTTTAGTTAAAATATGATTAAGTGAACTTGAAATTTAAAATATATATTTATTTAAACTGTCAAACACCAAGCGGTCACCGGTGACCGCGACCTATTGTTCTTTAATTGTGTCTATAAAACCGGTACTCGACGAGTTAAGAAGTAGGTGGTCTCAAGTATGTAATTTTAATTAGGATTCGCTCTAGTGGATGATAATTATTATATAAGCACCTAAAGGATTATTTAATTCCTAGTTTTTATATTTATTATTCTTTCTGAACTACGTTAGGTAAAATATTTTGAAGATAGGATTAAAACAGCATCGACGAACATTTATTGATAGAATTAGCCTCAAGATGGTCTACTAAACCTAATGGTAATTGAACTCCTAGACACGTACTTTGACAAAGATTTTAAGAAAAGTTGTACAACAGTTACCTTATTGTACCATGCTATGTAACATGATGAAAAACATCTGACCTCCGTTTATAGGTATATCTTATTTGTACTAGTTAAAAATTAGTTTCAAAATTAAATAAACATCAAAAACGTTTCCATTAAAACTTAAGATGATGCTTAATAAAAGATTACTACATTTAAAAAAATCGAGTGGTAATCGAGTGGTATCGTGAAAGAACCAAGGGTGAACCCCTAAGGAGTCAGGTGTGTACGCAAATTAATATTGAATCCGAATAAAAAGGATACAGTCAGATATTAACACCATGTAATAGTTTTATCTATAAAATTTCCACAATTTGTCTTATTATTTATACCTATTTACATTGATAAGGCTCAAGACCATTTTATCGTGTACCTAGGTATGATAAACATAGATTTAGAACTTTCATTAATTTGTGATAAGTATTTAAAACTAATACTGGAAGTATCTATAGACATATAGTAGTACTATAATTACGGTTTAGTTATAAATTATTAGTAGGTACATGTAATATAGGTAATTCATCTCTATGGCATAGGGTTAATTTTCGATATTATAGAGTTAATTTTCCTATTCCTTCGTAAAAAAAGTTTTTTGCTGGAAATGGGACGTGGTGGGCGGATTTATTTTACGTTTAAATGCTCGCTAATTCCCATTTTATTGTTATCAGTTATTTTATTTCTCATTTGGCTTCTCGCAACTGCCATGAACATTAATACCTATGTCAGCCGGAACATTACAAAGCGACACCTTACTTGTTCTTTTACCATACATATTCAATGTTAGGAATAGCTAGGCTTCATGAGCTTCAAAAGGATATGTAAGGTATAAAGAAAAGGTTAATTTTAACCGTCAAATACAAAATCCAAAAAACTTTCTCAATTCACTCCTGAAGAAACTATCTACATAGGAAACGTACACACGGCTACACATCGGTCTTTACATAACCAGTATAAACTGAACGTTAAATGTGCAAAAATATGATGCGACGCGACACCAGGATAAACTGGTTTTGTATAGATTGATGTGTGACCGTGTGGACACGCGTTTTATAGTACTCACCGTAAATCCATCAAGGGGATTGGCCCAATTTGATTCTGATGAAAACGAATGGCCAAGGACCACCCACATCATGGCTAGAGCTCTGATGCCGTCCAAACATTCAATCGTGTTGGCTCCAGAGCTAAATGTCATTACACGACGACCATTTGTATATACAGAAAATGATCTACCAATAACACTCACTGTTTTAGGATCTGAAATAAAAAAAGACTTCATAAATAAGAGATTTAAGAGAAACACAACAAACAAGAAGTTTGTATAATGGCTATCGTGAGACATACTCATAAATAAGAGTCCCGCTATGGCTCGAAACTAGTAGAGCTTTTCTCGAATGGTGCACGCTTGTAAGCAGTATTTTTAATTAATTTAGATTTAATTTTAAGTAACTAATCTTTTTACAAAAAAAAAAATGATGAATAATATAGACGCTTAATTGAGAAGAAGGAATAAACATACCTTTTTTCAGAATAATCGTTTGCCAGATATCAAAAGTAGTACTGACAAGAGTAAGTAACCCAATTATTGAGAAAACGACCCTGTGAAGTCAAGAACATTGATTAAATCAGATCGAAACGTATGAAGACGTAGAAATTGCACTTTACATTAGGAATCGCTTACACTGCCACTGTGTCTCCGGGCACCCACGGCTTGTCGTTAGGCAGACGACAAAACTCATCAGTGTATTGAAAACCGATAGCGGATATGTTGAATAAATATGAATTTATTGCTTGCTCAGTTGTACATGGTCTTGGGATGCAGATAGCTAGACTAAATGTTAACCTAGAGAGAGGGGTCTGTATAGGCGTCCTGAAACAAAAAGAAATTGAAATCATCGTCATTTTGTTTTTACTCTTTTAATCCTTACTAATATTATAAATCGGAAAATGAGTTTGTTTGTTTGTTTGTTCCGCTTTCACGCCGTGACTACTAAACCGATTGCTTTGAATTTTTGCAGACGTAAAGTTAGAAGTCCGGATTAAATAATAGAGTACTTTTTTCCCCCTTTTTATACAATATATCCTTTATATTGATATTCCCGAGGGAAAACAAAAGTATTGGTATAGATGGCGCTGTGTGTATTGGTATATGTCACATAGGCTACTTTTTATCCTTTTGTGACGCGAGCGAAGCCGCGGGTAAAAGCTGGTGGATTATAAAGTTACGCATGAGTGCAACGGTTAATTTTTTTATTTACGTAACGTCTTGAGATCATTCAAAGTCAGCTTCACAAAACTAATCTGTTTCAATTCAATCAAAGGATTCAATTCTTATTCCGAATATAAAAATAAAGGTTCTCATAATTAAACAGGTACTCACCTCTCGTCATTAAAAATACCTGACATCGCCAACATCCCTTGTCTGGATGCGTAGTATGCCTTCAAAGTCGCTACAGTTTCATCATCCAACTGTAGAAGTCTTGGGTCAAAATTTGGAATCTCGAAGTCTTCAGGAAAATGATAACTTTGATTCATTGGTACACGAATCATACAGTATTTCCCTTGGAGTTCGGTGTTTGTGTCTGTAATCTGGTTAATGCCGAGGCATTGGTGATAATTACCCAAATCAAGAGTATTGCCTGTAAGTACGCCTCGTGGTACCCTGATACCAGCATCGGCAACTGTTTGACAAATAAATGAAAAGTCAAGTTAGATACTTATCCTGTGTTGTGTCTGTCAAGAGTATTTGAAAATACGACAGAAATATAAGATTGGAGATAAACACTTCTTTCGAAGAAAAAGATCTTAATGCGGTAGAATATTTTCAGTGGCATTTGGCAATAGGCTCACCCCTATTACATGGGACTCATAACATAAATAGTGAAAAGTGGGTGTTACATTGTTCAGTGGCATTAAGTGCCCTAATGTGCACATCCGCCTACTCATTTTCAGTGTCTGTAACACTTTTAAAATTTCCGAACACCCATTTTCATTTGAGTCCAAAACCTTAAACTTGCTACCAAATAAATATTTATGTACACAAAAAACACAAACCTACGTGAACAAAATGAAAGATTACTTACAGGACATCGAGAGTAACGTATTGTTTCTTATTTGGGCAATTTGTTCACTACATAACTCCGGATCAATCACATCTCTATAAAGATTTTGATCTAACGCCTCATTCGGTACAGGCAACTGTATGTGCCCTCTAACTAAAATAAAATTAATTGATATCACATAAAAAATAACTTTTGAAAACATGATGTTAATATTTAAAAATCTTATTAAACTAAGACATATTATTTAGAGCTACTGAGAAATTGAGAAATACTGAGAAAAGAGTTCAATGCGACTGCGACTATCACAATCGGAATTCAGATGCAATGTGGAAATATGAAATAATGTTTTGTAATTAAGGCAGCTAATCTAATCATAGCGTTAAATATTAACGAAGACAAATGATTGAAATCATTGATTAAGTTATTTGTTAATCTTCGGTTGTTGACCCTTTGCGAAACACGTGAACTAGATTATTATCTATGGTACCTATTTCCTATCTGACTTTGGACCCCAAATTTATTTAAATATAATATAAGTAATTAATAGGATCAGTTAACCAGTTATTTTTGCCATTGTCTATAATTGAAATAATTGTTGAAAAATGCTAATGATTATTTATTATAATATTATTTATTGATTTTAGGAGAAACTTATATTTTCGAAAATACTTAAACTGGGAGCATACTATAAGTAGATATCTCTCATCAACTTTGTTAAAACAATTACTTACACGAATGAACCGGCTCGACCGGAGTGATACCACGGCCTCATAGAGAAAACCGACGTAAAGCAACGTTTGCGTTGTGTTTCGTCGTGTAAGTGAGGTTACCGGAGGCCTAACCCCCTTCCCCAATCTCCCCAATCCCTGAATTCCCAATAATCCCCAAACTTCTAATCTCCAAAAGGCTGGTAACGCACTTTTAACGCCCCTGGTATTGCAGGTGTCCATGGGCGACGCCGATTGCTTACCATCAAGTGATCTATCGGTTTGTTTAACGGCTTATGCTATAAAAAAAATTTTGGTATCACAAATTGCAATGACATTGAACATTTTACGTATATGTAGGTATTATAATCCATTCATTATAATCATATCTCAAAATCTGGCAAACATTCCTCACGTCACAATTTCAATGCAGGTGATCAGATAAAAAGTCAATAGGACGACCTACGACATGAATCTCACTTCTTTTAGAGTTAAAATTTTATTAATTAAAAGTACCAAACTTTTAGAACTTAGAAAGTATCGAAGATACTCGCTCGCTGCTCATAAGGAAGAATCCCTCTGTGGTTCGAAACATTACTAATAATCACGTGAGTAGCCCGCGATTCTAGTTAATTTAGTATGTCTCACGATAGTTATAATAAATACTTAAGTACTTACTTTTCTCAACGCACCACCACCTTACTCAGGAACCTACCCTAAATAATATCTGACTCTTGTTGTCTTGTAGTCTCGATAATTGGTGTTATTATTATTGGCATAATGTGCAACATGTCGATCCCGCACGGAACAATGTTTTTTATGATTTACTGATTGTCGTTCTGGGTATTAATGTGATGTGCATGTCATATTATATGTTTTTGAAGCAGTCCCGGCCAGTGGCGTAACAACCGTTCGGGGCCCGTCGCAATTGTATAGGCTCGTGTGCCCAATAAACAACAGAGAAATTCAGATTGTAAGCTCTGAACATGGCCCCTTCTCCTGGGGGCCCGTGGCATTTTGCCCACTTGCCACCCTGTAGATACGCCACTGATCTCGGCACAGGACAACGTTCAGCAAGTTCTATCTATATTTATCTGACAACTTAAACCTTCTTCATTTAGACTGTCTTTAACTATATCCAGTAGGTCAACGTTCTTATAATAACTTTTTAAATATAAATTAGCTAATTTTAGTCCAACGTCTGATAAACGAATGCAGGACAATGAGTTTCTAGCACATCGTCTGATAAACAAGTAAACAAATCATTGACCTTAATCCTCTATCGGTGGCTTACCTTTTATGCAATAAAGACGCAAAAATAATTTCATTTACCGATACGCGATACTCTACTTATAACGAGAGTAGAGATACATAACGATACCACTTTTCAGAAAACACTGATTGCTAACAAAAAATAATTACGTTTATACATTTCATCTACTAAAAGAGAATATTAATTGTTTTTATGGGATAAGCCGGTAAACAAGCAGACACCTGATGGTAGGCAATGGGCTTCACCCATGGACACCTGGCACACCAGAGGCGTTACAAGTGCGTTACCGGCCTTTTGGGGATTAGGGATATGAAGATTATTGCGAATTCAAGATTGGGGAGATTGGCGAGGGGGGTAATGGGCCTCCGGTAACCTCACACACGACGAACCAAACGCGAGCGTCGTTTTACGTCGGTTTTCTGTGAGGCCGTGGTATCACTCCGGTCGAACTGGCCCATTCGTGCTGAAGCATGGCTTTCCCATACTAAAAGGGTATTGAATTTGGTAGCCTACCTCTACCCGTGTGTACGTTGTGCACCAGGGTTATCGTTTTAATGTTGAACTCCTAGTGTTTTATAACGAGCAAATGCAAATCAAGTAACATAAACTGAATATTATTATTGTAAGGCGTTCCTATTTATAGGTACCTATGTTAAAACCACAGGTTTAAGCAGTTCAAATATTTAATATTGACGAATAATTTCGAGAGAAAGAAAGTAGATACCCGGTTTATTTTTATTCGTGATTATCCTCTGGAATATCGTCTTCTATTCCACGGGCGAGAAACACATATAAATAAATTGATTCGATTCGATGCAACTCGTCGAAACGACATCTGGTGAAAACCAGAAGAACTACAAAGTACAAGCGGTCGTGTCGCTCTACGAGAAATTCTTCGGATAACACCAGGAACAATTTCGTTCAAGAAATTCCTCTTCAAAGTTAATTGAAATAAATCTACATTAACTGTATAGGTACATTAATAGATTTTATACTGCACTTATGTCTAGGCCTAGATTAAGTACCTACCTTTCACAAATAAAAACGGTACCTAACAGTGTGGAAGAGCTTAGACGAAATTGTGGAAGAGCGTGAATGAAATTGTGGGAGAGCGTGAATGAAATTGTAAGACAGCTATACTTCAGCACGAATGGACCAGCTCGACCGGAGTGATACCACGGCCTCACAGAAAACCGACGTGAAAAACGCTTGCGTTGTGTTTTTTCGTGTAATTGAAATTACCGGAGTCCCTATTATCCCTCCCCCCCCTACCAAATTTCCCCAATCCCTGAATCTCTAAGTCTTTATCAATCCTCAGTTTCCTAATCCCAAAAAAGGCCGGTAACGCACCTCTCACGGCGCTGGTGTTCCGGGTGTCCATGGGCGACGGCGATGCTTAGCATCAGGTGATTCGTCTGCTCGGTTACCGGCTTATCCATTTTTTTTTTATCGTAATTACCTTGTCATTCTAAACAGAAAACTAAGTTATAAAGAGCAGAAATTATAGTTGTACTAACAACATACTTATAGCTATCTAGCTAGAAATATGTGAGGTCTATGTAGGTAGGTATAGATATGTAGGTACTTTAGTCTATTGGTTATCTAACTAATACCTATCTAGGTAAAGATATAAATAGTCAGAGTCAGGGTTATAAGGTCACGGCAACTGAGGTGTATCTTACTGTAAAAGCGAAGATTTTCTTAAAATAATATCTTAAAGGCATGAGATGATAAGCATCACGAAGTTATACTTTCTTGGTAACCTATCCTACTAGGCTATTTTACCCCTAATCTATTTTTCAAAATTTGTAGGTAGGTAGTACCTTTTCTCCGAAAATGTTTTATATTACTTATATATTTGGCTGCCTCGTTGGCCGAGTGGTTGCAAGTGCGACTGCCGGGCAAGGGGTCTAGAGTTCGATTCCCGGGTCGAGCAAAGTATTACTCAGTTTTTTAAAAATTCTCAGTAGTAGCACGGAGTCTAGAATTGTGCCCGGTATATGGCAATAGGCTCACCCCCTATTACGTGGGACTCATAAAAAAATAGTGAAAAACGGGTGTTACATTGTACAATGGAATAATGAGCACATCTGCCCACCTCTTCGGGGATAAAAGGCGTGATGTTGTGGTATGTATGTATGTGTGTTTTTATATTAGGTACGCACTACGACTGCACACGCTGCTCAAGAGGGAGAGTCCCTCTGTAACTCGAAAGTAGTAGAGTTCTCAGTAGGTATATTCACATATTGTGGTAGCCCGGAGGTTCTTATTCGCTTCTTATGCATGAGAGTGCGTGCTTGAAACCTACCTACGGCAAGTACCAATGTGACTTTTCGAGTTATATGTAATTTCTAAGATTTTTAAACACCACTGACAAACGGTAAAGGAAAACATCGTGAGAAAACCTGGGCTTATAATTTCTAATTATAAGTAAAATCGCCAACCCGCTTTGAGCAAGAATGTCGACCTTCTCCGTGTTAGTAGAGGCTTTGCTCAACAATGAGCATTTTATAGACTGTTGATATGTTTGTGATGTTCATGTGAGTAACCCATTTATAGTTTACTAGCTTTTACCCGTGGCTTCGCTCGCGTCACAAAAGGATAAAAAGTAGCCTATGTGACATATACCAATACACACAGCGCCATCTACACCAATAATTTCGTTTTCTTTCAAAAATATCAATTTTTCCGGGATAAAAAGTACCCTATTATTTAATCCAGACTTCTAACTTCACGTCTGCAAAAAATCAAAGAAATCGGTTTAGTAGTTACGGCGTGAATGTGAAACAAACAAACAAACTCACTTTCAGATTTATAATATTAGGAAGTAAGGATTCTCCGACTGTTATATTTATATGACACTTAGGTACTACATTCTGTGAGCGACTTCGTTCACGTTCACCTATGTTATTCCAAACTATAGGTAATCTACCCCTATTCCCTCGATCCCTTTGCCGTTTTGACGTGCAAAAGTAACCAACAAACATACCAACTTTCACATTTATAATATTAGTTGGATATCAGACACTACTTAGGACCTAGGTACTCATGTTCCGTTAATTGTTCATTGTTTACTCCACTGTTATCTGACGTTAAGTTTGATCCCGCCGCCCATGACCGGACGCTTGGAAGTAATATCTAAACAACTGCACAACAAACACATTGGAATGCACTCGCATTCTTATCTCACAAAACCAATATCTATTTAGTAGATATTGACTTAAGTAAGTAGTTAAAGTAGTCAATAGGCTCACCCCCTATTACATGGGACTCATAACATAAATAGTGAAAAGTGGGTGTTAAGTACATTGTACAGTGGCATAATGTGCACCTCTGCCTACCCCTTCGGGGATAAAAGGCGTGATGTTATGTACCTAAGTAGTTACCTGTCGCGGAGAACCTAACGGGTTACCGGGGCTCCGACTCGAAGCGCAAGAGAAGTAATGGGGTGGTTTTTAGTCAGTAAGAGTCTGATACTCCCTCCCGCCTCACCCAGGCGGGAGCAGTAATTCGATGACTTTCCGCCCTTAAAAAAAAGAGTAGGTATAGGTATACCTACTTGTAAAGCTTACCCACAATATGAAAGATACTGTACCTAAGTAAGTTTTGTTCAAGTCCATGTAACAGTAATTTCTTCTAAGACTCCATAAAATTGTAGGATTGAAAAAGGGCGAAGCCAATAATTGTATTGTTTACTTACCTAAAACATTGAATCAAACCCGAAGGCACTTAATACTAGGTTATTCTATAACTTTTAATTCGAAAGATCGAAGTGAACTCGATCGGGGTTCGCCATATCATTGGTTGGCAGAATAATTTCGACCAATGACGGGCGAGAATGCAATCGAGCTCACTTCGAAAGGTCGTATTGGCGTGGTTACAAAATGCCTACCTGATTGCTTAAGTAGAACTTCGATTAGGTAATTTGAAAATAAAATTTATAGTTTGTTAGTTTCTAAGAAAATTGATAACTGTGGTATGGACTATGCACCTACCGACGCATATCTACACCTCGTATCAATTTTATCAAATACGTGCAAAGTTTAGTTTCAATTTACATTCATTTATGGCTTAGAAATAATACACCATCATTCAATGATATCTCTCCAATAATTTATCTCACACGCACGTAAAATAATAGATTATCTATCTAGATCTTGATAGAAACGCAATAATATTTAAGTAATTAGGCATGATTTATCGATATTAGAAGATGAATACACCAATACACTAGTTGATCGAGTAAATTAGAACGTTCTTGAACCTTTATAAGTATATTTTATACTAATTCCCACCCTACCAAGTTAAAACCTAAGAAGTTAGGAACCTACAACTATTGAATTAAGAGCTATTTTCGAATGATAAAAAAAATTCAATTGCTAAACTTAATAGGCAGTGTATAGTTTACATTTCCAATTGAAATCTTTTCTTTCATTATGATATTTCAATATGATTATGATCGTAAACTAATGTAGTTTGTAGTGTATCATGAACAAAGTGTGTGTACCAGACAGCCAGACAATAAGATTGGCTTCTTTAATCATATGCGATAGAATAGGGTTTCTCACAATCATGTAGGTACTAGGTAACACTATATTATCGACTAAACTGGTAAACTAATTACGTTACACGACATATAAAACGTATGGACGTAATAAAACAACATCTTTATTTACAGTGACCTTCATAAAGCGACCAGTGTTATCAATTTATAACTATAACAGAAAACATGATAACAGAATAGACAATATTTTATTACTTAACATACAATATCCATTTACTTATGCAGTAAAATAAAAGTCTCAAAAATATGACGTAATTTTATATAATATAAATGCTGTTAAATATGAAAATAAAAAAACAATAATAAAGAAATGCCTAATTAATAAAGCAAGATTTTGAGTCTATTATGATAATGGAAAGATTTTTTAAATCCTGACCTTCATATTAAAATGCGTGTTCACAATGACATGAGTTGATTGTGTAAAAAAATAATAATATAGAGGCTGCTCTGATCTTTCAATATACAATGTATATTCTAAAGCTAAATATTGCTTATAGTTTCAATTAAGTGCTAGGTCAATCCTTGCAGACATCCAAAGCCTCCTGTTTTTCTTCAGCAAGTTCCTTGCCTGTAGCATCAAGCATTTGACGTGCAAAGTCTGTGATTGTCAAACCCTGAACAATCTTCCATTTGCCATTGGCGGTTGTGACCGGGAATGAAAATACGACGTCACGAGGAGTGCCGTAAGAACCATCTGAGACAACACCCATGCTCACCCAGCGGTCCCCACTTCCCAAGAACCAATCCCTCATGTGATCAGAAGCAGCTTTAGCTGCAGAGAGAGCTGAAGACATCTTTCTTGCGGCGATAACGGCAGCACCACGCTTCTGAACTGTTGTGACAAATGTGGACTTCAGATAAGCATCATCATTGATAGCAGCAGGGACTGGTTTCTGAGCACCACCAACATTTACAATAGCATTTGACGCATCTGGGAACTGGGTCGATGAGTGGTTGCCCCAAATAATAACATTCTTAACATTCTGTACTGGGACTCCAATCTTAGCTGCCAGCTGTGACTGGGCACGGTTCTGGTCAAGACGAGTCATAGCTGTGAAGTTCTCTTTGGGAATGGAAGGAGCATACTTTGAGCAAATAAGAGCATTAGTGTTAGCTGGGTTACCAACAACAAGTACTTTAACATCCTTGCGGGCAACCTTATCAAGAGCTTGACCTTGCTCTTTGAAGATGCGAACATTAGCGGCTAGAAGGTCTTTCCTTTCCATGCCCTCTTTCCTGGGCATGGCTCCTACTAGAATGCAGCAACAACATCTTTAAATGCTTCTTCAGGTTTTGCTGTTGGGAGCACACCTGCAAGCAGGGGCAAGGCACAGTCAGCCAGTTCCATAACCACACCTTCAAGGACTCCCATCATGGGGGCAATATCAAGAAGGTGGAGGTACACAGGCTGGTTGGGACCAAATACTGCACCAGACGCAATCTGGTAAAGTAGAGAGTAGGCAATCTGGCCAGCAGCACCGGTTACAACCACTTTGATAGGTTCAGCCTGAAATAGAGTAAAGAACCAATTAATATTGTATCACTTTAGTAATTAATTTTTATTACTTCATTTAACTATAAAAGTGTATTATAAACCAATTACTGATCGCTGAACAATAACTAAGATGTCAACTGTATAAAAGTTTTTGTCAATGTAACAGATACTTCATACAAATAAACAAAAAATTTGCTATATTTAGAAACATGAATCCTATCCAATTTACTAAGTGTACTAACACCTTCAGTATTCATGTTTGCGCCAATGTTATTCTTATGTAATAGGTACACAACAAGATCACTGACAAATCTAGCAAATATTAAGAAATAATGATGTTAACATTGTTGCCATGGTTACAGAAGATTAGGAAATTAAAAAGTGACGTTCTAATGCATAATCTGGAACGAAAATAAATATTATTTTTATTTAATGACTGGCCGAAATTGATTAAAAAACGATCAAACTTGATACTCAAGTTTTTGTTTAGAAACCGGTTTAATTTTACCAAAATTATTACATTTTATTATTATAACATCCGTTGGCAATTTATTTACTTAGTAGATAGTTTAAAAGCCTTCTTAAATAAACTAATTATAAAAGAATCATAGTAATTTGCGATTGTTGATAAAAAAGACTCCGTTTACTAAAGGTCAAATCAAAGTCAATTGAAGTTTGTATAAACTCACCATTTTTGTATTTGGTTAGTAGATTTTTTTATTTTAAGTTTCTTATTGGCTTTATTATAAACCGGCTGAACCTCCTATTGGAATTGTACTGTGACGAATTCTGCGGCAAGTAAAATATGCGCCGTGTGCACTCGTGTAAAGTACGGTTCGCAAAATTGACTTTGACAAGTAGTAAGTTACCGCTCCGTTATCTTGTTTGACACATGGTTGACAACCGGCGGAGTTTGATAATGATAATGTGAGCTATTATTTTGACCTTTGGGTAATTTGGATATAGAAGACCTTTTCCAACGTATTGCATTTCTAAATATACTGGATGTGTTTCATATTTTCGATTTCTTCCTTGTACTTTGTAATAACTAAAAATACTATAGAAACATTAAATTATGATAAAATTGTATTTTTAAATTCGTAATAATCGCGTTTGTAATATAAAAGTGTAATTTTCCTACCTAATTATTTTATTTCGATTTCCGAACGCAGCAATAATGTTGCCTGTAGTTTTTTTAAATATGTTTTTAACTAGTGCATAAAATGTCTTGATGGTCTCAACTGTAATTCCATTAAATAATATTTTCTTATATCGTTAAAAATTAAGATATTCTAAGTTAATGTTTTAACGTGATAATTACACAGCATTTACATGATTCGTTACACAGTGTTCTAAATTATTTTTTTACCGTTCAGAAATCTATTCGAATAAAAAACTTAAATTAAAAACTAACTATTACTTAAAAAAAGTAAAACTAAATATTACTAAATTAAATACCTATATACAACTAAAGATTAAAATTAATTATAAAAAAAAAAATTTAGCTTTTTTTACCTCTGTTCCTTTTTCATTTCCTTTCTAGCAACACTGATTCAATATGCCAAGTGACATAACTATAACCTCAAATTCCTTTTCAGGGTAGTTCCGAGCTGCCTTGGTTGGTTTTTGATAAAAGATCAGTGATTCTTCCCGTGTTTGTGTCGGGATTGGTTTATTAATTAATGGTTTAAAGTTCCGAAACAACAAAATGTCGTCGCTTTTAAGATCTACGAAATTTGTGCGATACTTCACTGGTGCGGCCCGTACGCTTATCCTAAACTCTGCCAAGACCGCTGAAACTACTACTTTAATCAATCCTAAAGCTTTATGTGCTGCCAATAAGTAAGTATATTATAAACGATGTATTTATTAAGAACATGCAATTTAATAATTTCTTAAAAATCCTCTGTAAATTCTCGTAGTGTTGATAGTTACCATGACAAAGCCGCTCATGTACACTATAATAAAATAATACTGTATTAATGTAAGTTTACATAATTTTAAATGAATTTCAAGTAAATACTATCTTGTTTTAAATTTAAATAGGATTTTAATAACTATTGAATTCAATATAATCGTTATAAGTGAAGTAAGGTTACTTCAAGTACATAAGTTCTATAATGATTAATAATTTTCAGTGTTCTTATGAGAGATTATGCAACAAAAAAGAAAGAAAGCCTAGAACCATTATTACAAAAATTGGATGCTGAAGTTCGAAGATTCGGAAGAATAACCAAGAAGGATATTGACGAAGTATTTGATGAAATTAAATCGAAAAATGACATTACAAGCTCACAGTCCCTCCTGGTTATTAGATGTTGTGGTAAGTAATGTTATAATATTCTGATATATTAGCTTTCTATTGTTATTATTATTGTACAAAACACAAGAATTTTGAGAAGTTCTGTTTATAAATAAGCAATCAATCTTTCGTATAATCTAAGAGAAAAACTAACAATTCCAAAATTCTTACTACTAGGTGAGCTTGTACCAGAGGAGTTGCCAGAACAGAGAACACTTTTGGTCCAAAAAATATGGAGTGTGCTCATTGAAAGAGGAATACCTATGGATATTTCTCACTATAATGCTTTATTACGAGTATACATTGAAAATGAGCATCAATTCTCCCCTGCTAAATTCCTTGAAGAATTGGAGAGAAAAGGATTGCAACCTAACAGGTGATTATAAGTTTTTATAATAACTATAGTCAGACATACTAAATTAACTAAGAATCGCTGGTTACTCATGTGAACATACTGAAAAATTTTGGTAGTAGGCTGCGCGACATCGCCGCAACTCAACGCTGCTCATCAGGAAGCAACCCCCGGTGGTTCGAAACTAGTAGAGCTTTTCTCAGTATATTCACATGAGTAAGCTGGGATATTTAATTAATTTAGATGATTATACATTTATTATACATCACATATAAGTAAACAGCAAATATTAATGAAATTGTTTTAACTCAGGGTAACATACCAAAGGCTCATGTGGCGTTACTGCCAGGAGGGTGATGTAGAGGGAGCCACAAGAGTGTTAGAAAAGATGCGCGAACTAAGCATGCCTGTGTCGGAACCTGTACTGAATGCATTGGTAATGGGACATGCATTCCATGGTGATACCGATGGAGCTAAAGCAGTTTTACAGACCATGGCTGGGGCTGGACTTGAACCCTCTAACCGTACATACACATTGCTTGCATGTGGACATGCAAAGAAAGGTGACATCGATGGAATTCAAGAAATAATCAAAACTGCAAGTGAAAAAGAAACACAACTTACAGACCGGGTAAGTTAATTATAAAAATTAGGCTGTTTTCTGAAATAGTTAATACAATAGTGTTAGTGCAAACAATGTAGAAGGCTTTGTAAATCCTTGGTTTTCTATTCTAGGACCTCTTGGAAGTCATTGAGCATTTAGCTGTAAGTGGACATGGAGATAAAGTGGAACAGGTTATTTCCCTCTTGCAAAAAGGTGTAGGATACAATCAAGATGTTTGTAATGTTATACTTAGATTACTCAATAAGGGACAAGAACTAATTGCTAAAACAATTATGAAAACCATGCCAAAATCCACCACTATAGAAGATACTCCATTTAAAGGAGCATTCTTTGTAAAGCAGCTGCTAAAACTTAACAAACCTGCTGATGAAGTTATTAAAACATGCAAAGAACTTCAGGAAGAAGGGCTTGTGCCAAAAGCTCTATTTATTGCAGCTGAAGGATCACTGCAACTTGGCCAAGCAGAATTAGCATTGAAACTATTTAAAGAACTAAAACAAGAAGGGATGGAAATCAGGCAACATTTCTATTGGCCTTTGTTAGTTCAGAAAACAAAAGAAAATGATGAAGAGGGTCTATTGCAAATTTTAAGAGAAATGAGCAGCAATGACTTTACAGTTACTGGAGAAGCATTAAGAGACTATGTTATCCCTTACTTGATAAAAAAAGATTCTCCACAGAATGTCATACTTAAACTTCAAATCGCAAACGTACCGACAATACACGCAGCAAGAAATCTAATGGTCGAACTTTTGGATTCTGGCGACATAAAAGGTGCAGCGGAAATTGGTCTGCAATATAGACCTAGGGGCAACTACTCTCTTGTTGCTAGGTCCCTCATCAATGCAGTAAATAAGACAAAAGACGTGGGATCTTTTGCAAAAATTCTTCATGTTATAAGTAGTAAACCTTCTTCCCTGGGTGAAGATGTTGCAGCCAACAATGAGGAAAGTCAAAGTGATGAAAATAGTGAAATTCATGAAGTTGGCCGCATTGTAAAAGCGTCTGTCAAGGGTTTGGGGAAACCAGACTTGGTAGAAGCACTTTTAAGAAGTGTCGACTCTAAAGGACTGAGAATAACAACTGAGGCTGCAGAATCCATAGAACAATTTTTAGGAGAAAATATGACTAAGGATTTGTCACAACTATTAACCAAGCTTTCGACAACTGAGATGGAGCTGGTTCCGATTGAGAGTACCCGTAAACCTGGAGGACCTCGCACTACCGCTCAAATGGAAAATCAACTTGCACAATTGAAAAACAAAGGTGTCAATAATTTATCTCGCATACAGAAACAGCTACTCGTTGCTTACATTAAAGATAATAATGTTAGTAAAGTGAACAGTTTCTTAGAGGAATTGAAACGATCGAACTTTGAATTAACAACGGCGACACTGGCTCAGTTGTTCGAGTTTTACTGTGAAAATGATGAAGTTGAAAGAGCTCTACAATGTAAAATACAACTTGCTGAAAAGGAACCAGACTTTGTTTTGAATAAATACAAGCTAGTACAAATGGCATATGCTCTCATTAGAGCAAACAGGTTTGATGAAGCTGTAGAAACTTTGGAAAACCACAAACATGAAGATAATGCATCAGGTTTTATGATAAATTCCAAATGCTGGCAAATGCTAAACACATTAGCTGAACAAAAAAATGATGCCCACGTAAGTTCATCTTTATCAACTCAATTATAAATTAATAAAATAGTCTTAGACACTCATTTCACATACATTATATAATCGAAGTTAATGAAATAGAGAGCTGATGAAATTATTTAAGCATTCATAACATTCTTTTTAATCATTTATTTTCCAGGTAAAACAAATGACAAAGACGCTGATAGATAACAAATATATTGAGCCTTCGAATATTATTTTGGGACCTTCAATCAAAGTACACCTACTGCAAAATGACATAGACAGTGCTTTGAAAGAGTTTGAGAATTGCTGCAAACAGTATAGGAGTACTCCTTGGAAGGGAGAACTGATGAAGTCATTGATTATGAAGGAGGATGCTACTAAACTTCAGTGGTTAGCTGACCTCAGTACTCAGGTAAACATTATCAAATTTTATTCTTGTCAATTGTATGTTTCTACTTTTCGTAACTAATAGCCGAAATTAATTAGCAAAATTTTTGAAAAAAAATCGACTATTGACAGTAATAATATTATTTATTTGCCAAAAACACGGTTAATACAGAGTTATTATGTAAATATGGAAACAGACCAACATGTCGTTGTATAGAATTTCTGTCAACTTAGATTGATTCAGAGATTTTTGATTAAGATTCTTTATTAATTTCGACCATAAGTTATTTAGCATTAGTGCTAATCTATTATTGCTTTATTTTTTTGATATAATACTTGTGGCTATTTGTACTAATTACCACAAATGGAAACGAGTGGCCCAAATAAAAAACCTAAAAGGTTCTTTAGTTGGTTAGAATTTATTTTTAAACATAACGTTCTATTTCTAGATTCATGGAGAAGTAAACATCCTTCATGACTTGGTGCTCGCATTCGTTGAGTGTGGCCGCTTGCGCCAGGCGCGTCGTATCCTCGAGACGCCCGGACTACAAACTCGACACCGCCGCTTAGATGACGCTTGCCAGAGATACGTAGAGGTATGTTATATAGTTTGTTTGACAGTAAAAATGAGTGTAAGATTAACATACACGAGTTTAGACTACTTTGTTAGTGAAGTACTCATAAGGATGAATGCAGAACATTATTAAAAAACAATATTTCTCCTGAAACACTAGGTTTCCTGTTATGTAGGTACTACACTACACATTATTCATCATTGTAACTTCTAGATTCTACATGCGTTGGGTAAAAAACTATTGACCATTAACTAATAATATAATTTTGTTACAGGACGGAAAATCCGAGTACCTCGAAGGTTTGCTCGAAGCTACAAGAGAATTGTCCAATGTTGACCGTAGTAACATTTTCTACCACCTTCTCGTTACATACTGCAAAGCCAATGAAACTGATAAAGCTCTGGGTCTTTGGACACTTCTGCAAGAAGAAGGCGAAGTACCCAGCGACCAGTTCCTTACACACCTTGGCAATCATTTAATAGCGAAGAATAGAGAAGTACCATTCGTAATACCACAAGTTAATACAGGTACTCCTAAAAAGAGTAAAAATGAAGGTGATGTTGTGGAGAAGATCGTGAGTCTGAGAACCAAGTAAACCAACTAAAAGCGATGTATCGACTCATATTGAAACTTTGACGAAGGATGGACAGTACTCGCAAGCACTCGATGTAGCTATGAAGTCTATTGAACATGGTGTGGTACCTAAGACCGGCGTTATGAAATTCTTATTGAAATCTTTGGCTGAAGAAGGAAATGTAGAAAAGATACAACAGTTGGGCAAATACATAAACGATTCATTAAAACGCCGCGTGACCTACGATGACAAATTGACCCTGGCTGTGTTCAAAAGAGGCGCTGGATCACAACATATTGATAATGTACTCGAATCAGTTAAAGCTGCTAAGTCCGAAGAGGAAATGGAAAATGCGCTTCGAAAGTATCCTAGAAGTAGCGCACTTGCAACCGTCGTTCAGGATAATGAACTCACTGAAAGTGTAAGTATTGAAGAAAATATTTTTTAAATTCTACTCATATCACAATCACTGTTGGATTAACCATGTATCAAGGGTAGCAATTACTACAGGGATAGTCCTATATTTAGGAAAACTTATAAGGCGTGCCAGCCAGCAATTTTTGCTACAATTCCCAACACATATTTAAGAAATCCACCACTGCGTCTATATACCTAATAATTATTCTCTATATAATTCAATCGTCCTAATTTATTTCCAACTTTAACAACACAGTGCAATCGTATATTTCTCGATAATAATCATTAATTGTATTTTTTTCTATAGGCAAACAAATAGCCGACATTGCAGCAGCAAAAGAAAAATTCTTACCAGCTAACCTGCTATGGATGGAACTTATACTGAACGGTAGAGAGAAAGAAGCGAAGAGCTTTGGTCGAAATGGCTGTGTAAAGCGCCCGTTGTCGTATTTAGAAGATTACTGCAAGAGAGTCATACACGAAAAGAACCAGAAAAAATTGAGAAACTTATTCAAATATTGAAATCAAACAAGGGATTGTCTCTCTCATCGTTAGGTAATGCCTACTCGCGCCTTATCAATTTCTACATCGCGGAAAATAAGATTGATATTGCTGAGGAAGCTTTCTCGGCGGCACTGAAATTGGGTTTGAAAACGGAACACATGAATAACAGCACTTTAAAAAGACTGAAAACTACAGTAGAAGAATCAGGGAGACGTTTAAGTACGAGTTTTAATTTAAAATACCAAAATGTATCTTGGCATTTGACAATCAGCATCCATTTTCTGATTAAAATGTTTATAGGATATTGTAAAATATTACTAATTTGTTGATATGTTATGATATGAATGTTACTTTGTTCTTTTGAACTCCCTGAGTTAAGTAGACCGGTAAAACATTTATCAGGAAAATTATTGTCTTGTTTATTATCAACATATTTTAAATTAAGGATGTAGAATGCTTCCTTGCTGTGGACATTAATTACAAAATATTAATAAACAAGTATTGAATTGCACATGTAGAATAGTTTATTTTAGTTATTAATAAATTATTAGTTAATATTTTTCGAGTATTATTTTCACCATCCATTAAAATCTCCCAATTATGACGTACTTGACGGCTATAATGTCGCCATACCAAATGCCCAGGCAGATCTATGAATTAATTTAGCCTAAGATTTGTGTAAAAAGGCTAAACATATTAATGTTACATGAGTGTGACAAGGTAGATGCGAGGACGACATCAAGTAGAATCATGGGCAACATGGCGATGCTGATCGCTTACCATCAAGTGATCTGTCTGCTCGTTTGCCCTCTATTCCAAATGGTGCATCTGATATACTAAAAGGACAATAAAGAGTATGCAGATCAGGAGATAGAAGAGTATCATTTATTTTACATTTTAAAAAGGTCTAATAGGTATTTTTTACATACAGTGGTATGTATGTGGTTGCGACTTGGACTTGGCAACCCTGCCCTGTGTGTCATGGCGGAAATACATTGCCGTAGCGTGTCGTGTCGTGGCGCGCCCAAACCTTATTAGTTTCATACATTTCACTTATTATGGACATATTTGTATGTCGCGTAGACGTGACGTATTATCAACCAAAATAACTATTCCAATAATTTACGGATATCATACAATGTGTAAATTATATATGAAAAATAAACCGGTTTATTTAGAAACCGATTTATGAAAAACCGGTTTTAGTTGAATATGGCAAGGGCAACATTTATTTTGGAAAACGCAACGAAATATTTTTGGCGGGAATTTAAGCGTATCTTCGAAGTTTCCATTATTTGCAAGTTTTCATTTGCTAAAAGTTTACTTTCATTTATTTAAACATCCTTTGTTTTTTGCATGACTGTATAATATTTTTGTAATACAAAAATGTTTTATCCTGTTGATTCATTAAAACGAGGTGGCAGGTTCTATTTGTGCTGGGTCGCAGATTCTTGGCCTTTGCGATTTGCGACTATTACTCAACGACAACTTTGGTCTCAAGATATTCGGAAAATATGGTAGGAATCTGTAACTTCGTAACAAAGTATAATCACTATCAATTGATTTATTTAACATTGCTATTTTTTATTGTAGTGACGATTTACTTGAAGTAATGACGAATGAGTCGGGTCGTCCAACCAGAAGATTTTCTCTTCGTTTAAGTTCCCAACTACTTCGAGGATTAGTAAGATTATACCAAAGAAAAGTCACTATATTTCTAGGTAAGTTTCCTATTACGAGAAATCAATACATCGGCAGATTCTTACCTACCTGCCCAGATCTTGATGATCTTTAATATGTGGGTATGTCATGATCATAATAGGTATCCTCGCTTTCCTATTTCTCTATTCTATGCTTACTTATGTACTTCTGGTTATTTGCTGTGGTACCTACCCATGTACCTATGTGGGTGGACCCTGTCAGGCACAGCAATCATTTTCAGCTGATTGTTATAAGTTCCTTTATTATATGGAATGCAATAAAGCATTGAGTACTATTTTGCAGGTGACCTATGCATGATCAATGCAAATGTGATAAAACATTCAAACAAAAAGTAAGTACAACTTGACATTGTTTATTAAAAATATGGCAAATAGATGTATTCAAAGTTCTAGTCACATTGAAATTGAGATTAACAATTTTGAGTTTAAGAAATTTCATAAATCATTTATTGTACCTACCTATTTAGTTGTTACAAGCTTATTTCCTATCACATTTTAATTGCTTTATTTCAATAGTGGTTAGATAGTAGGTATTCATAATAAAAGTGTTCTTAGATGGAATATCCATGAGGTGGAAATAGTAGAAGAAGTGAGGCGGCCACAGCTGCAGCAGCTTGACATTCAAGAGATAATTCAAGAACCACCTGAAAATGAACAGAGGATTGAGGAAATGATACAGGTTTACACTTACTATTCACACTGTGGACATTGTTTCTAAATACTTAACTAGTTTAAACTTTTTATCTAAAATAAGGGAAATAAGACTAGGTAGCTACATTGTTTACTAACTAAGAAGGAATGTGCCAATAATCACAATGTGATTTACAATTTAACAAAAGATCCAGTCTACAAATTACTAAAAAATAGAGGACAAACGATTCAACCATCTCTTGATATTTCTTTTTATTTCTGCAGAGAAGTGGCAATGTTGTCTCAAATATTGCAGATATCACATTGAAAGAAGCTGCAATTGGTGAAATCATACCACCAAATGTAAGTAATTTGAAAATACTTAGTACATAGTTTAAGATAATTATTACAAATAGCAATATTTAGTACCAAGTTTAATTACTTGGTATCTTTTACATTCTATTACTGAAAACACTTAAAAACCTAGAACCATAATATTACCCTCAAATGTACATACCTATTATATTTTCATATTTTCTAATGTAAGTAGTGTAGTTTAGTGTCTAGGTACCTGTCGCGGAGAACCTAACGGGTAACCGGGGCTCCGGCTCGACGTGCAGGAGAAGGAACGGGGTGGTTTTTAGTCAGTAAGAGTCTGACACTCCCTTCCGCCTCACCCAGGCGGGAGCAGTCATTCGATGACTTTCCCCCCTAAAAAAAAAATGTGTCTAGGTACCTACCTAAGCGTTGTAAATGAATAAAGTATGGTGAATTGTTATTGTTATGTAGGTAATCTACCTACCCATCTATAGTTCTCTAGTTCTAGCTAGGTACTAGAGAAAACCTAGTTCATAAACTGTTGTTCAATTCAAATTCTTACATAGATACACAACTTGTACCTAATTTATATGAAAATCATAGGACGGTTTCGGCGAAGAACGTCTGGATCCCCTTCAATTGCTTCAAGACCGCACTATCGAAATGATGCTGGTGCAGCCAGATATATCGACGGCGCATAGCGGCTTGGACATAGCACTGGACGTGACTGACAAGTCACATGACAAATCGCGACTATTGCTCGAACCGGCGCACGCGCAGATGGAAAGAATCTCCGAACATGATCTCACGATGTTCAGAAAATGTATTTATCATTATATTTTGTTAATTCTTTATTGTTTATTACTTACCTAAAGGCTAGAACATAAAACACCTATTTGTATTCCTTTTAGTTCTTTAACGATTTTTAATGTTTTTTTTTAGCTACTGGAGAAGAACTAATGCCTGAATTCGAAAAAGGTAACGGAATATTTACATTTTTGTTTATTTCATGGAATTACGTCATTGTCATTTTCGGGACCATGATTTGGGCATGTGGAACATTTACTGTTTCCATAATAGTTTAAACATGCGAGGAGAGAGATCTTTAGTCCTTCATTCCATCCTTTAATTTCTTTATCATCCTATTCACTTACCTACATCCGTTAAAACCTGAGTATTCCTGCAGACATTCCTGAAATACCCGAAATCCCGAATCCCGAAATGCCTGTTCCTGAACCAGATAAGTTAGTGTTTTATTTTTTGTTATTTAATAATTAATGTTGGGTACCTAGTTATCTACCTACATAATCAGAGAAACCTGCTACTACCTGATGGTAAAGGTCCATGTCTAAAATAAAAAGATTCATCCTTTCCTTTCACTACCTTAAAAGATGACCAAACCTCCTCAAATATTTTATATCGGACACTTAAGCTGTAGTTTTCTTGACCTATGTGTTTTTCTACAATCTTACCTATACCATAAAGCCATCTCCTGATCCGATTTAAATAATTATTTTTGTGTTTATTAGTGCATTTACCGAAGTAGCCTATAGGCAATAAAACCACACGCTACAACCTATAGGAGACGAGCAGAGCGCTCCGCTTGCATTATAAAAATATAGGTGAAGGCATTCGACACTCGATTGACTCAACCCTAGCATTACCAAGCAGTTATTATGATTGTCAATATCTTTAGGCCTCAAGAAGAGCCAAGGGCGGAGATTATGCAGCCCAGTAACGTCGTCGAACCCGAACAACAAAAAGTACAGGAACCAGTGCTGGACAATGAACTAGAGGTGGGTAACAGAAGATTGCACATGAAGCTACTCCATACTGTCAGTTTTCTATAAATCTTGAACATTTATTGTGCATTCCACATGATATTAATATATATTTTTTAATGAACATGTTCATCCCTAATTGCCGACCTACTTCATAATGTTACAGTTACAGCAAATTAAATGTAGGTGAAAATCGCGTCGATAGTTTTCATGTCCGAATGAAAAATAAACCATGCATTAATTAAAATATGTGACGGTTTAGGAATTAGAAGCGCTGGAACCACTAGCAAAACGCCGTAAGATCCGAAAATTGATAATAGACAAGAAGACGAAGATTAGTCCTAATCACTTCCGAGCTAGGATTGAAAATCCTTTGGTAGAGTTGCGATGCGAGGTATTTATTGTTTTTTTTTATTATTTTCAAGGTTAATTATTTCTTTTTTATCATGAGCCTATAAACAAAATAAACCATTATGCCTACTTTCAAACTGAAAGTAGGATTGTTCTATTTTTAAACTTACCCTCACTTTTTTACATAGGACAGTTCAGACGACATAATTTTCGTAAGAGTACCCGTGGAGGAATACTTTCGGCGGCCGTGTCACGGTGGTAATAAAATAATATCTAATTTTGGAGACGCTATTTCGGTACTTTTTGGACGCAACCTTGGAGTGGTCCCGGGCCTACCCTTGGCTGAAAGAGAAATGGAGGTAAGTGAATGTACCCATGTATTTTTATACATGTTCTTTTTGTATCTATTTAATAATTGAGTCTCAGATGTTGACATTTACAATCACCTGAATTGCATATTAGGTAGTTATTCCCCTATACTCGAGTTTTAAAAATTGATATATTTTTAACTAAACTGTAGCAAGCTGAAGCCGTAAGGAGACGTTCTCGTCGTACTACAAAAAGGACAATGCTAGACATAATAGAAGAGGAGCAAGAGGCTACTGTTGTTCAAGAAAGGCCTGAAATACAAGTGGAACCACCCATTCCTGAAGCGAATGTGACTACGGAAACGTTCAAAATTTCTGATCCACCACGTGTGAGCGCACAAGTTGACATAGACATTGCAGATATACCAACTCAAAAAGTAGAGACACTATCGCAAGCGCGCAAAAGGACAGCAGAGCCAGAAATGTTTGGAAGCGTAAGTAGTTTGTTTTTTAATCTAATAAGACCTCATGGCAATAGGCACCTAGGCTAAATCAGAGCGCACTTTCAAAAAAGTTTAGCATAAAACAAGCATAATAATCTGTATTTATTATTACTATTTTAATTAAATTATTTTTCTTTTAGCCAAAACATCAACGCTCCATGGGTTACAAATCATTCCGGGAAAGCCAGCTGGCTAAAGATTTAGCAGATATTAACGCAGGTAATTAATTTTCTTGCTAAGAATATTTAGATAAAGCGCGTGGACGTGAACTCTACTTATTAAGTCTAATGTTACAGAAGCAGAGACAAATAAGGAAAATATTATGCCGCCTATACCGGAACCGCCTCAAGATGCTGAATTGATACTATCTTCAAAGTTACAAGAAGCTGGCTTAGCTGATATTCCACAACAACCTATAATAGTCGAGGTCGAGGTTCACTCACAAATTCAACGAACGACTGCTTCACAAGGAAGAGCTCGTGTGACTGGGAGTGAACGTTCTGAAACTCCTTTAGGCAGTCTCGACAGGACGAAGGTGTCGCTCGGCGATTCAGAACAGACTACAGACTCGAAAAGATTTATACGGTAAGCAGATTGCAATAATTAGATGTCAAGTAGATTCTTAAAAAGCCGACGCAAAACGTATTTGGTCTTATTCGTTCAAATAGTTTGTAAGTGTCATGAGTGCGTATCAGTGTGAGTCATGTGGGTTTATAACATAACTTACGAAATAATATCCAGTTACTTTTGTGCAGGATAAATAGATTGTATGACCAAGTTATCTGTTACAGCGACCAATGGGGCACAGAGGGCACAATGATCAAAATAATGAAACACATTAAGGCAAATCTCCAACCAGTTACGGTGAAGAGCCTCCTTGATAAGGGTCCCGTTATATCCGGTTACAAAGGTGTCATAGCCGCGCGATGTTTTACGTCTATACTCAGTAAGTACTTATTCTATTTTTTCCCTAAATACATTTTGGAAAATCTTTCGAGGTAATGCAAAAAATATAACATTTTCCAGAACTAAAACAACATGGCTTCGTTAACGTTACCAAGAATCTGGATACACTCGAGATAATTGATGTTACTCTGGGACCAAAATTGACTAGTTCCAGTGATCAATTCTAAGTCCATAATTTGTCATTTCGTTGATTTTTTCACTATTGATGTTACTCATTGTAATACTATTTATTGATTAGTGGTAATAAAACAGTAATAAGTTGAATTTTGGTTTTAAATGAAAGATGTTATTGATATGAACAATTTTATTTACGATCTGTATATAATGATATGATCTCTGTACACTTTACATAAGTCATCAACTAGATTCAAGCTAACTAGATAGATTTATGAGTATCTTAATTATAGGTAGGTAATGGCTTAATAATTTACAAATTCTAATAGTATAATCGAATGCTGTACAATTAAACAGTCGACTTAAATAATTAATCTAGCCACAAATTCTTAATTACATAAAATACAGCCATTTACATTATAGAATTGGTATATTATTATTTATTAGTATAATTCTTTAAGAGCTTAATTGATAGTACAATTTTACACATTATTCTTAAAACAGAGAAAGAAATACTAAATTACGGTCAATTATATGGAGGTTCCCTACACAGGTAAAGCATTTCTAATTTTTATTTATACAAAATCAGTCTCCTACTATTTGTTAAGTCCGCCGTATGAAATGTATACTAGTAAAAGGAATTAACATAGTAATCTTATAACTCAAAGGCAGTCACGCTTTGTCTCATTAGGACGTACACCACTGGACGATTGGAATATGTTTAACAATAGTATGTTTAAACCGCAACACACATTATCTAAGCACTACATTTTATTACCTCTGAATTTATAGATTACATCAGAAACAACTTCAAGCACACTTCAGTGTTTCACAGCCTTTCTAACAGTCGTTCCAAGCTCTCACTCAATTACATTAAATAATTACAGTCTGTCCTTATAGGTTTTAGGAATGACGTTACTTAATTTTAAAGTAGCTACCATATTTTGTAGGTATATCATTTCATGTAATACTTTGATGAAAAGTGGAACGAATTAATTATTGATAATAAATTCTTATAAAATCAACCCATTACGAATAATAGTTATAGTGAGTAAATATTTAAATCCATCATTTCATGAATCAAAACATCTATTTGACTTCATACCATAAAAGTTGAAGCCACGGATATAAATTATATTAATAGTACCGAAATTAACTCTTAATTTTACATCATGCATAACACTTATATATTAGATTCAAAACAGGTTTCTATAACGGGGAAAATAAATCTCATTCCTCCAACGAGAGGTCACGTAATATGAGCATAGGATCCAAAAAATGGTAGTTAACATTTAAAACGGTGACATATCACAGATCACTCGAGACATCATAGAACCCTCGACCGTGGAATGATACTCAATAGAGAAGTTACAAGGACACAGAGTGGGACGAGCGGGCTCAGGGCGCAAGCGAGTCGCTATCGTACTCCTTGGGCTCCTCGTCGTCCGAGGGCGGGCGCTCGCCGTAGTTCATGCTCTCAAAGTATTGCTGCGGCTTACCGTTCCACAGCGAGTCGTCGCGCGACGCGGGCGACACGTGAGACACCTGCGACACTAGCGAGCGCAGCTTGGCGTCCACCGAGTCGGCGCGCTCGTACAGGATGGAGCGCGACAGCTCCAGCGCCAGGTTGTGGGGCGAGTAGGGCGGGTAGGGCGCCAGGCCGGCCGGGTAGGGGGCCAGGCCGGCCGGCAGCGGGCGCGCGCGCGGGAACAGCGGCGCCAGGCGGTCTGCGCGCGCCACGTACTCGGCCGCCAGCGCCGCCACGCGCCAGCGCTCCGACTCGTCTTCGTTTCTCTGTCGAAATGTCCAACGTTGTTACGTACACCGGACGCTCGTTAAACGTCGCGGTGCTGCCCCTGCGGCCCGAGCTGTCGATCTAACCTTTAATGAGTGTCCGAGTCCGCCAAGTGCCCGCGAGCCGCCACTAGTCATCCTCCACGGTTCCGACTAAATGCATACGAACTTGTGTGCAAGCCAAATACTTAAATTGCTTAGTTTTAAAATAGTAAGAAATAAATTAGCATCATTTAAATTAATATAGTGAAATACATTAAATACTAGTGAGAATGACTACTGACGACTTGGTGAATCGAATAATAAGATACATAATATATACTGCAATTAATTTTTGTGACGTCTAAAACTATCATCTCCACCATGTCAAACATGAACTACCGGATATTATTATTTCATGAGTCCAACATCTGTGCATAACTTTTCACTCTATTAGTTACCAAACCAATTACCAACAGTGTAAAGGCCATGTGAGAGCATCAGTTTTTTGTGTGATTAGCCAATTATTTTGTGCCATTATGCCACTATGTCAATACAAACATACAAATAAAAATACAAAAATCATAAATAACAGAATTAACACATAAAATTAACATGTAATGTGTCATAAACAGTGAGTACTGGCGAAAATAATTATACAAATTATAAAAAAATGTATTTTTATCTTGCACTTACCATACTATAGTCTTCAACAATGTCCAGAAGTAATCACAAAAAATGTTAAAATGTGCACTGAATAAATAACACTTGAAAATGTTTAAGTTTAATAATGGTTTTATATAAGTTAAAATTCATATTTTGATATTGTTGGTATGTAAAATCCCACGCCATATAAAGGTGTCGCACAAACGAACTGTGATTATTTATTGAAACAAAAAGGAAATAAAATGTACGATAAAAGGAATTTCACTAGTTCAGAGTACGACAACTTTTACAAACAAAATGTGTCAATTTATTAACATGATGAATATGTGGGTTAGGGACACAAAAATCCAACCACAAATACTTTGAGCACAACATACTGGGATTGAGCTAAGTTTTTCAAACTTCGTAATAAACACGTATGTTATCAGTATTTAAGGAAAGATTTAAATGTCACTTGATTTGTCGCTATAGTTAGTGACGAGGACACACAATCGTTAGCACATGCTCGCCTACACTACGGACCGACTCGCTCTACGTCAAATTAAAGGAAACTAGAATCGGGGCGGACCCCGGCTTTTAAAGTAAACCGAAGCGAAACGAAACGACGGGGAAACAAAACTTACGATCGACATAATGGCATGCGAGATGCGGCCCGACTCGACAAGCTACGAGAACGTCAGTCCGGCGCGCGCGGGCACTCACGCTATGAGCCGGAATCTTTCGGAAAGAACCACGCGTTCCAGAACGAGCGCGCGCGCACCTTGGGGTCGGGCGCCGCCGCGCGACGCACCGGCACGCCGCTCTTGGGTTCGCGCTCCTTGCGGCCCGCGCCCGCGCTCGCGCCGCCCAGCGTCGACCCCGCCGATCGCGCCGACGCCGCTGAGCGCGCCGACCGCACCGAGTGCGCCGACGGCGGCCGCGCCGGGGTCGGCCGCGCCGTGTGCAGCGGGATGCGACTGGGCCGGCGGCGCGGCGTGTCGGCGATGCGGCAGTCGGAGTCGCGTCGTCCGGCATGTGTAGCGGCTCCATGTCTCGCATGCTGCTATGGTCTCGCGCGGGTGAAGCGGACCGAGCGGGGCTGCGACGCTTGCCCTCCAGCTGTCGGACGCGAGCACGCGCTCCTTCTAATTCGATACTTTTCTCCTCCAGCTGGAATATAATTAACAAAAATTAGTCTCATTCCCAAATATGTTTTATTTGATTTCGGTTTGTAATTTTTGTAGTAACTAGGTGGTACATTATTTATAACAAATAGTACCTACCTCCTTCTAGTATCTTATCATATAACGGCAAAATGGGGGTGAATAGCGTTTGGGCGGCGAAAAGGTACAGAAGAAGGTGAATAGATATAAAGAAATTCTTCATAGTATCGATTCACCCCCTTCTGTCCCTGTTTACCTCTCGATCCCTATTCACCTCATTTTACGGAACGTATACGATTTTGCAATTTTGGACATAAATGTTACATTATTGTTACATAAAACTCACCCTAAATTTGAGGTCTTCGTTGAAGTCTCGAGCTCGCTCCAGTCTTTCTAACAGCACTGTGCGCTGCGCGGCCGCGCGTCTCAGGCGTTCGCTCAATACCTGGAAATCACATAAGAACACAAATAAGTATTGCATAAAAATCCGTCAGTAGTTGCAACATAGGGTCAATAAAATAATAGTTAGCAAACGAAATACAACAGATATTTATTTTTATTAAAATGTGTTTTAAACAAAACAAACCGATCTTGGATAAAAATGTGGGTACCAAACCTCAGCTTAAGAAACAACAATCAGATGAAGATATATATGAATATGACGTCTAAATATTAAGACTATGTGTACTGAATATTTACAATGGATTATTTTATAAATTTTAACTAAAATTGTAGCTTGGTAAGGTTTGGCATCAAATTAAAATGAAATAAATAGCAATCAAACTAAATCAATGGGTCCGAACCTCTGTGTTTGAATCATACTTTACAGTATAATGCGGTTGGTATTTATATTGAACGCACCACTAAGTTCCTTGTTTTTTATTATGCTTTAGGTTCTTCCGTCTGAGTTATAATTGCGTTAAGGACAGAAGTTTTTATTCAAATTACGGAAAGCTATAGACAGTAAGAATATTTTAACATTTAACTACACTTAAACATTTTCCTTGCTGTAGTTTCTATGGTAGTAAAATAAATACAAGAGGATACTTATGCACATTAAGCAACTAAATTAGCCTTCAGCATAACTAATTTGAAAATAATTACATACATAAATTATATGTACTACCTATAAGCAAAATGATGATTTCCTTTTGTTGAAGGTGATATTAAAATAATCATGATACCTACGCTATAAAGAAATAGCAAATCGTTGAGACGGAAACGCACTAGTCACCGTATTGGTTCATTGCTATCTATCATTTTAGGCCAAGGATTTATGACACATGCGTGCTAAGTGCTAAAGTTATGGTATTGTCTTGAGATACTTTGTGATAGGCCTTGCACGTGATAGAAACAAAAAAAGCGCAATGGTTTTAGCGATAACATATTGCAATGATAATATGTATGTAAGTTAATGAGTACTAAAACACATGTCCACGACACAAATAACTTAGATAAATAGGATTGTGGAGGAATGGTGGCCTGCATGGTCGCGGACACACTCCATTACCTCCACTGATCTGCGTAATACCTACTGCCGAAATCTCTGAGATTACGTCAGAGCATCAAGCAGCTCGTTAGTGCAACGACAGAAGAACGACTAGCACGTACTTCGTTACCTCACTCGTTCTGCAATTAACAGCCTTAACTGCTTTTTTATATTTTTTTATTTCGTTAATGCAACACAGATTTCTAATGACCCATAAGAAAGAAACTTCCTAAAATTGACACCTTACCGCAATATCCATGCAAGTCTGAGAAGTTCAATTCGGCACACTAAACAATACGATTGTGATTAGAGATAACAGGGTCAAGGTGGGTTTGAATCAAATAGATAGAAATGGAAATTGGAAACGTATCTTTTTGAATACATTTCTAGTGATTGTTATCTTAAGCATGTAGAGTTCACATCCACTTCTATGCTTTCTAATTAGATTAGAATTTATTTTCATAAGTACCTGATTTTGAACGGTGGAAGTGAGTAGCTGCCTCTGAAGTTCGACAGGATTGCTCTCGAGGAGAATCGCCGCGAACTTCTTGGAGTCAGGCGTAGCGACGCGCGGTGGGCGCGAGGGTGTTTCCAGTGCTGTGTCGAGGCGGCCGAGCGGAGTGCTGGGCGCGGGCGCGGGCGGAGTGACGGCGGCCGCCGCCGCCGCCGCCTCCAGCTGCGCCGCGCGGAGGAGCAGCGCGTCCCGCTCGGCGCGCAGCCGCCCGGTGTCAGCGCAGTCGGCGCACGCTGTGTCGTTGAGTGCCCGCGTGAACGACTCCTCCACGGTGTCCGCTGGGTGCCGGTCGTCGAGCTCGCCGCGCAATTGTTCAGCTTCGTCTCGTAACCGTACTCCTTTTCTTTGAATGACGTCGAGTAAAGCCCAGAGCTCATCTTCAATTGGTCTTGAACGTGTGGCTGACGCAGAAGCTGATGCCGATGAGGAATGTGCGTCTTTCCCGCAAGAAGTCTCTGTGCTGAAGCCGGAATCCTGCACGGAGGGTTGTGGTTTGGCCCGCGTAGCGTCTCCTGCGCCTGCCGCAAGTTTACGACGCACGCGCACCCCGGGCTCCCAGTCGCGACGTGTACCGCTCGCAGGCGTGGACGGCGCCATCTTGGAGCGTAGGTTAGGGAATGTCTCGATGACGAGGTCGCGAAACTCAAGTAAAGCTCCGACTTCATTCTGGAGTTCCTAAATAATAGGAAATATAATTAATGATAATATTCATCCATTCGGTTAAGTAGGTAGTAAATTCATCTTATTGTTGTATAACTAACCTGTAGAGCGACGAGGGACTTAGCCTGCTCCGAGATGAGGTAATGAAATGGTCCGGGTGGTGAGCGCAGTTGAGACACTCCATGCCCGAGCCACCTGACCCGCCGCTGGCGCTGTCTGCACCGCCCGTCTGGAAACATTTACAATATCATTAATATTCCAGCTCCATTGAGTTGAAAAGGATATCCAACGAAAAGTATTTCAAAAACTTATGAAAATATATTTTAAGTATATGAATCGAGAATTGTACACCACAATACTATAGCAATTTAGTAAATCATGTTGTCATTAGTGAGCATGAGGTTTTTTTAAAGGAACACAACAGTAATGTCGCCGTGCGCCCCAGCGTAAAATTGCGTCACGGCCGAGTGCGCCCCGGACACAACGTCCACACAATCCACGACTCTCTTCCTTCGCGACCATTGTGCGCTATTGCATTATAAAAACTATTGCTAAAGTTTGAATTGTCTTAGGTACTTCCATTCCAGTGGCATTCAAGTAGAATCCTAAATTCGGTACTATCCCGCCCAGATCTTGTCTTGGCAATCTTTGCACTTGTATTATCCTTATTATTTATTATTATTATTGATTCAGAATAGTTTTTTTACCCATATAATTTCAGAAATATTTCGGAATGAAATATATTACGTTAGCTGTATACTAGATACTCAAATACAATTAGTTCGACGTCTGCTACAACTCCTAATATTTAGTCATCCGATGTTTCGTAAACTTGTTACATAAATTACTAACCGTTATAGGCAGAGATTGACATTTTAGAGTACTATACGTAATTGGAAATGGATATTTCGGTCTCATTAAGCTCACGATTAAGCTAAGAAGAGTTGATTGTGGTTAAACAATGAGGGTTTACGATTTTGCGTTTGCGAGATGGCGCTAGTGAAGCGTAAGGCCATTTTAGTCCAATCAGCTTAGCTGGCACAAGCTGGCTGACTTATGACTTGATGCTAGCAATTAACTCGTCGAGTACCGGTTTTACAGACACAATTAAAGAACAATAGGTCGCGGTCACCGGTGACCGCTTGGTGTTTGACAGTTTAATATTCTATTGGTCAAAAGTCAATAAATCTTAAGCTACATTAGCGCCTCTAGTGGCGAAAAAAATGTTAATATTGCGTTTATTAAAGTAGAACTGAACAATGAAATCCCGTTCTAATTTACATAATTAAACATGACTTTAATTAGAGTTACGAAGCTCATCGAAACTATAATCATAGTATAAAGAACACAGTAGGTTATCTAAGGCCGCCCGCCGAGTTATTAGCCTACTCTTGCGTTGATCCCCAGGGTTGTCACTTTTACTTTTAGTTAATATTTTCGAACAAGCAGCACTTGATCTAAATTTATGAAATGAAAAGCATATTATGATTGAATATTTTATCAATTTATAAATTTAGTAAAAATAAAAAGCTTATAAAAAGATTATTAACTTCTTAAAATAAACTTTAGCTCTATACATAGTATTCAGAAAGTAAATTTGGGAATACATTTATATGGAAAAATGCGACACGGCCACGCTCTTAACAAATCAGATAAACTGTGAAATAAACAATACAATACCACATTTTCTTATAATATTTAAGTACAGTAGGTATTACATTTCTGGTTGAGTAGGAACTATGAAGAATGATAAGAGTAAGAATAAGTAAGTAGGTATCTCATCATCAAGTACCTACAAACTATATTATGCTAGAAAAATTTACTAGCTTACCTTTCCTGTTCAATAGGTAATCCGAACAGAGACAGTTCTAGAATCGATTAATTATTAAGACACCCAAACACACAGCAATACGTTCTTCTACGGTTATCAGACATTTTTTATTTCATTTAACAGTGCCGAAAAGTGATGCGCGCGCGAACCTCGTGCAGTGTTAGCCCTGCCTGGCGCACTGAGAAACGGGTCGAGATTTTGTTAAAGTGTGCGTGCGTCGACGCATAGATACTATGGCGCACACATATAAGCCGCGCGCGGAGCATTTGTATGAAGATAACCTACTCTGTTCTTTATACTATGCTATAATACTTGTTCAGTATGGTTATACAAACTAGTACTTATTACATAACTTCTATCTAGTCCTAAATCTATACGAATACACGTAGGTACCTAATTACCTAATAATTGATAATCACTGGATTAAGTCAAAATAATTGATATTGGTTACTCGGCCATTTGTACACAGATAAAAAGAAAGTAGGTAAACAAGTTATATCTTTAACTAAGCTATGACTAATGTGATTTGACAAAATGAATCTGTCGGTAGACTAAAGGAGTACCGAAATCACTAATTTTAACTTAATATTGCTTCATTCAATAGTTTCAAATTCGCCAATAACTTCCTTTATCAGTGTGATAAGTGTACTTTAGCGACATACCAGAGGGAATGTCGATGTCATTTTCAAAGTGCTGATAATGCAGCAATGTAGCCATGTTCAGTTTCAACATTACTCAAGTACATTGCAACATACCAAAGTTATCGAGGTGCAAAAAGATTATAGGTAGGTAAATTATCTTGGTACAGATAACACATTAAGCTGATTCGGTAGACAGACTGGCAACCTTTTTTGGATGTTCTATGACATGAAGTTGTAACGTGAACCAACACATGGATTTTCTTTTTTTAAGTTTAAATGTTAGCTCGAGATAAATTTTAGTCATTACAATTATCTGAATGACGCAAATGTGATCCTTCGAACACGGTAGTTCAGAACAAACGGGAAGACAATATCATGAGTCACTAGCAGTCTATATCAATATTTTTTGAGTCATCTTGGAAAATACCAGAATTTATAGTTTAACTAAGTATAACAGAACGCTTAGATTATGCTTTACCTAAATTGTTACTTTTTTGTAGTTAATGTAGTAAATAAAGTCAACATTGACAACCAATGTGATCATTTTATCTCAGTGTCATACCAACAAAAAGCAACAATACCAATGCTGCAAACGCTAATACTCTTGTGTCTCCGAAAAACCACAAAGTAAATCGTCTACTAAATGCGGTGTTGGCTCGGGGCTAAGTCTTAACAATACTCAAGTGTCAGACACCAAATTTGGAAAACAACGACCCAATCTCTTTGCATTCAGAGTGAATTGCATTATTGTGTTTATTAAACTCTAGAAAACGAAAGTTTGCAGGATTGTTAAAATCGTTTCCACTAAACGTATTATTTGCAGTTTTGCATAGGTAATACAATTTCGAAATCAATTAAACGAAAGCAAGTAATTATATCTGCCATGACATTATAGTAGTAAGGTCTATGGTAGGAACCGTACGATGTCGAGAAAGCCTGTAGTTGACGGTAATGGTCGGCCGGCCTATAATCTATTGACAAACGAGTGCAACAATCGACGGACCTCATTCAATGACAGACCATTTTGGCGGTTTCTTAGTTTCACTTTCTTTACAATTGCGTCAGAACAAGGCCGTGTCTACATCCACACCAGCTGTGTGATTATAATGGCAATTCACTAATGTGTTATGACATTAAGCCGCTTGTCGTGATTAGATGTGGGTACCGGATCTTTCGATTGTTTATTTTCACCCGGCGAGACGTAACAACATGCAAATTATGGACGCGTGCACATAACATAATGACACTTTCATAAATGCGAGTAATGATGAGTATTTGGATTACACAGTGAAGGATCCGTTAGGTGACTAAATGTTTATACAATCACGATATCGTTGACGATTTCTCCATCTTCAAAAACACAACATCCAAATGTCTTAAAATTTCCAATGAAGCATGGATGTGGAATACATAATTGAAGATGAAGACAGGCTCACTTGTAACATCCTAATTAAAACCTTCGTTACTGGGTGTAGAGATAGAACCAGTCACACTCCCTAGACTGTGGTTTAATGACAGTGTGCGGTTGACTTGGGCCAGAAATGGGCCTCACAAAACCACTTAATTTAATGTAGGTACCCAAGTAGCAGTTATAAAATTATAGTACCTGAGAACATACACCATTTTGCAATCTAAAATTAGTTCAAGGACCTTTCAAGTACTACGCAAATACATAATTATGTGGCAAATAATGTAAGTACTCAAAGATACGTTTGTGATAAAAAAATAACACAATAGATGATTTTCATCAAATCGTAAGTACATGTTGTTGTGTTAAAGTATGGACCATTTATTATTTGGTTGCGCTATGAATCATGTCTAAAGTTTTTTTTTGCATAAACTGAATGTCCATTCTTTGTACTGTAATAAATAACAAGTATGAGACCGTATTGAACTCGTGTTGGTACTAAGGCTCCAGGGCTTCATAGTAATGAAACAAGAGAAACTATTAACTCTTCATCTTTTATTCTAGTGGGAGATTTCTCAACTACTGCAAAATCCATGCAATTACTTGAAAAGAATGAAAAATATCATCGTTTTCCATAATTCTTTCAAAAGTTTACGGACGTACTTACTATAATAATTAAAAAATAAACAGTAAATTACCCGTTAACAATTCAACATAACCAAGGTGAAAATGAGGAAAATGCAAGCTATCATAGCATCATAAAATAGAATCACCTATTGTACCTTGCTTTGACTTAAGTAATGAAAGGCAGGCTATCGCTGACATTCTGTAGAAGGTATTGTGGATATAAACACGATCAGGTGTCCCATTTAATCAATATCAGTGGAGGTCTGAATCACCAAACGTGATACACTACCATCAAAATCGACACGTTAACGAGATGAATTCGTTTCGATTGGCTCTCTACATGCAATGGGATGAATAACAACCGACATTATCTTACCGTTACACTCATTCTCAGCTAAGTACTTATTTTTTTTATAATTTTTATTATAACCACATACGTATTATTACATGTGTACCCAGTTGAACGTGACGAGTAATCTGCATCGATTTAAAATATAAGAAGGTGCTTAGATAAAGCCAATTATAAAAAAAAAAACTCATTATGTTTATACTTTGACAGATGTCTACGTAATAATTTGACATCTGTCATAAAGATTTGTACAATACAAAATGATTTACAAATTACGAATAATTTTCGTCTGTGAATAGGGACAAGGATGGTGTTCTGAACAATGAGGCGGAAAATTATTATAAGAGTTCCGGCCAGTTCATTAGGCAATCGTTTAATGAGAGACATTTCCTGCGTTTTTATGTCATACAACTTTAAATGGAGAACATTTGATAATAAGTTTTGTCTAAACATACTATAACATTCTTAATTATGAGAACTGATTAGGTAAGTTTGTAATATAATATGCAGAGGATGGCCGTCGGCCTTCAACAATGAGAGGTAAGACATTTCAATGACAAAAACCAAGTACAAAATATGTGTACTTGCTTGATACGTGACAAATCGCATTTGTTTGTATGCTGTTGCACGACTGTAGCGACAAAGACTACGTTAACGCAAGTGTGATGTAAACGAGAATCGAATCGATAAAATAAGCACGATCTATCTACTATCGAATCGATTACGTTTTTACATGATCGATGCCAACGTTTACTTTTTCATATCAATACGAGCAATTGTATTTTCACTTCACTACACTAGGTACTTAACCTACAACAAGCGAAAACTGGTAAACAATAACTCAATCAAGCGAAACATAATTCGTAAGTTTCCAATGAAATTTAAGTAACCGCAAATGAATGTACTTCTAACCGTAGAAAGCCTGTGAAAACTAAAATACAGACAAGATGACTTAAGACCTGTTGGAGTAAGATTATTGCGATTGTGTTTGTGTGTGAGTTTATAAGAATGTACATTAAACTACACTCTGCATTCTGGAGCCTACAGTGAAAGAAATAGAGGTGCTTAATTAGAAATATTAAGTGTAACGGTACATTTGGGCAATATACGTGCAGTGGAATGTTAAGTTCTAATTTCATTAACATACGTTCCGTTTGTTTTGAAGACAGTGCTTTGTTTATAACTCAGTTGATAGGTAATAAACACAGATGAATTAGTGTTCGTACCTTTGCTACATTTCATATGTGCATCGTCTTTATTCTCAACGTGGGTGGTCTTAGAATGAGATCGTTTCATCTCTTCCTTAGACCAGTGAGTTGTTTCCAGTGCTCTGATAATATCACAAGGAATAAAGTACTTCCTATCTGTCTGATAAGATTCAACTGCGAAATCTTAGCATCCCCGAGGACAAGATGGCAGCTATAAGCCGAAGCGTCGGATGTCTTCATGCAAAATTCTCTTGAGACACAGAATTCCATTTTATGTTTACGAGTTTTTAAATAATAGCGCAGTAGAAATAACTTAGTGCTATTCTCTGTAATTATGCAACTATGTGACTCTGATAATAACGATCAGCGACCAATCGATTGTCAACGATCATTTCAATCTAAGGTATTCTACAATAATGCTATTCAAAGAGTTCTTCGTCTATGGGTTATTGCTCTTCTCCGTGTATTATCGTTTTCTAAACCTATTCTCTCACGTGAATTAAGACTTCATGTACCTAGATACAATACGTATATAGTTTACGTAATAGGCATAAAGACATATCTAGAACATTTGTCATTACATGGAAGATATTAGGAACATTAATGGTCCCACGTTTTTACCGAATACCTATTCAGACTTCTATAACAGGTACATACCTACATGTAATTACTCAATGATGTCAACGTGTTTTGTTCAAAGTTCAACATAAATAAAATACTTAAATTATGTACTTGTTATAGGAAACTTATTGTTATCCTACGTCATTTATTTATTTATTGCTGAATTTAGGAATGTTTCTGATATGAATATATCACATTTATGTTCAAAGACCGGTATTCAGGCAATATTGGTAAATTGCAAGAAAAACATCATCATTTTTGGCAAGGTAACATTTACATCAAGTTTAAAGTTTACAACATTCTTCCGATTAATTTTTACTTTATCAAAACAGTAGGTAGAATGAAATTTCAAAACTATATGAAGCAATGTGCTAATCGTTTCATTTAGCGTTGCAGTACTTGCGGTAGAGACAATACTGCTACAATAGTTCAAAACATTATGACGTGGATATGCAATGGCTCAGGTCACAATCGTAATGAATTGGTAATATTATTAAACAAGGAAATTCATTCATTCTTATATGAATTGTTTTCCAGGAGATTCCATAACATTTGTGACGTTGTTTCTTGATATTCATAACGGTCAGGCCATTCAACGTGGTTCAAGTAGAGAGTGATAATTCCGTAGGGCATTGTTAAATCGTACGGTCGTAAAAACATTTTTAATTCATCATAATTAAAATATTAAATAAGTAATCTGTATTCAGACCATTTCAATGGCAGTAAAACAATGAAAGTATTTAGGTCACATTAAAAGAAATCTATTCATGTTGCCAAGTTTATTAAAGAAAGCCTTCTTTGGAGGGCATAATAGCGAGTCGCAGTGACTCAGTAAGGAGACAACATTTGGATGATAATACAAA